CGACCTAGAGGAAGATAATAGGACCTGATCATTTAGATATTTTATTTTTAACATAGTCACTTAAAAGTTTTTGACCTGAGGGAAGAGGTGGCTGTGGGTGCAGCTTCAGCAGACTTAAACGTTCTTGCCTGTTGGCTCTGAAGAGAACTGTGGATCTCCCAGCAGAGCGCTTGAGCTCTGCTAAGGGATAGACTGTCTCCTCAAGTGGATCCCTGACTTCCATGCTTCCTGACTTGGAGACACCTCCCAGCAGGGGTTGACAGATATCTTATACAGGAGAACTCTGGCTGGCATCTGGTGGGGGTGCCCCTCTGGGATGAAGCTTCCAGAGCAAGGAACAGGCAGCAATCTTTGCTGTTCTGCAGCCTCTGCTGGTGATCTCCAGGTAAATAGGGTCTGGAGTGGACCTCCAGCCAATTCCAGCAGACCTGCAACAGAGGGGCCAGACTATGAGAAGGAAAATTAACAAACAGAAAGGAGTAGCATGAACATCAACAAAAAGGACATCCACACAAAATCTCCATCTGAAGGTCACCAACATCAAAGACCAAAGGTAGATAAATCCATGAAGATGAGGAAAAACTAGCCCAAAATGGCTGAAAATTCCCCAAACCAGAATGCCTCTTCTCCAAAGGATCACCACTCCTTGCCAGGATCACAGCTCCTCACTAGCAAGGGAGCAAAACTGGACAGGGAATGAGTTTGACTAATTGACAGAAGTAGGTTTCAGAAGGTGGGTAATAATAAACTTCTCCAAGCTAAAGCAGCATGCTCTAACCCAATGGAAGGAAGCAAAGAACCTTGAAGAAAGGCTAGATGAATTGCTAACTAGAATAACCAGTTTAGAGAAGAATATAAATGACCTGATGGAGCTGAAAAACACAGCATGAGAACTTTGTCAAGCATATACAAGTATCAATAGCTGAATCAATGAATTGGAAAAAAGGATATCAGAGATTGAAGATCAACTTACTGAAATAAAGCATGAAAGACAAGATTAGAGAAAAAAGAATGAGAAGGAACAAACAAAGCCTCCAAGAAATATGGGACTATATGAAAAGACCAAACCTATGTTTGATTGTTGTACCTTAAAGTGATGGGAGAATGGAAGCAAGTTGGAAAACACACTTCAGGATATTATCTCGGAGAACTTCCCTAACTGAGCAAGACAGACTAACATTCAAATTCAGGAAATACAGAGAACACCACAAAGATACTCCTCCAGAAGAGCAACCCCAAGACACATAATCATCAGATTCACCAAGGTTGAAATGAAGGAAAAAATGTTAAGAGCAGCCACAGAGAAAGGTCTGGTTACACACAAAGGGAAGCCCATCAGACTAACAGCAGATCTTTCTGCAGAAACTTTACAAGCCGGAAGATTGGGGGCCAATATTCAACATTCTTAAAGAAAAGAGTTTTCAACTCAGAATTTCATATCCAGCCAAAGTAAGGCTTATAAGCAAAGGAGAATTAAAATCCTCTGCAGACAAGCAAATGCTGAGAGATTTTGTCACCACCAGGCTTGCCTTATAAGAGCTTTTAAATGAAGCACTAAATATGGAAAGGAACAACTAGTACCAACCACTGCAAAAACAAATTGTAAAGACTGTCGACACTACAAAGAAACTGCACCAACTAACAGGCAAAGTAAGCCACTAGCATCATAATGACAGCATCAGATTTACATGGAACAATATTAACCTTAAATGTAAATGGGCTAAATAACCCAATTAAAAGACACAGACTGGCAAATTGGAAAGTCAAGACCCATTGGTGTGCTGTATTCAGGAGACCCATCTCACATGCAAAGACACACATAGGCCCAAAATAAAGGGATGGAGGAAGTTTTACCAAGCAAATGGAAAGAAAAAAAAAAAAACAGGAGTTGCAATCCTAGTCTCTGGTAAAACAGACTTTAAACCAACAAAGATCAAAGGAGACAAAGAAGGGCATTACATAATGGTAAGGGGATTAATGCGAGAAGAAGAGCAAACTATTCTAAATATATGTGCACCCAATACAGGAGCACTGAGATTCATAAGGCAAGTTCTTAGAGACCTACAAAGAGACTTAGACTCCCACACAATAATAGTGGGAGACTTTAACACCCCATTGTCAATATTAGATCAATTGAGACAGAAAATTAACAAGGATATTCAGGACTTTAACTGAGCTCTGGACCAAGCAGACCTAATAGACATGTACAGAACTCTCCACCCCAAATCAACAGAATATACATTCTTCTCAGCACCACATTGCACTTATTCTAAAGTTGACCACATAATTGGAAGTAAAACATTCCTCAGCAAATGCAAAAGAGCAGAAATCTTAACAAAGAGTCTCACAGACCACAGTGCAATCAAACTAAAATCAGGATTAAGAAACTCACTCAAAACTGCACAACTACATGGAAACTGAACAACCTGCCCCTGCATGACTACTGGGTAAATAATGAAATTAAGGCAGAAATCAACAAGTTCTTTGAAACCAGTGAGAACAAAGACACAATGTACCAGAGTCTCTGGAACATGGCTAAAGCAGTGTTTAGTGGTAAATTTATAGCACTAAATGCCCACAGGAGAAAGTGGGAAAGATCTAAAATTGACACCCTAACTTCACAATTAAAACAGGTAATATTCAGTATCTATGAAGAACTGACAAATTTATAAGAAACCCCAACAAAAAGTGGGTGAAGCATATGAACAGACACTTCTCAAAAGGAGACATTTATGTAGCCAACAAACATATGAAAAAAGCTCATCATCACTGATCATTAGACAAATGCAAATCAAAACTACAATGAGATACCATCTCATGCCGGTCAGAATGGCAATTATTAAAAAGTCAGGAAACAACAGATGCTGGAGAGGATGTGGAGAAATTGGAATACTTTTACACTGTTGGTGGGAGCGTAAATTAGTTCAACGATTGTGGAAGACAGTGTGGCAATTCCTCAAGGATCTAGAAATAAAAATACCATTTGACCCAGCAATCCCATTACTGGGTATATAGCCATAGGATTACAAATCATTCTGTTATAAAGACACATACACATGTGTATATTTATTATGGCACTGTTCACAATAGCAAAGACTTGGAACCAACCCAAATACCCATCAATGATAGACTCAATAAAGAAAATGTGGCACATATACACCATGGAATACTATGCAGTCATAAACAAGGATGGGTTCATGTCCTTTACAGGGACATGGATGAATCTGGAAACCATCATTCTTAGCAAACTAAGATAGGAACAGAAAACCAAATACCACATGTTCTTACTAATAAGTGGGAGTTGAACAATGAGAACATATGGACACTGGGAGGGGAACATCACACACCGGGGTCTGTCAGGGATGTGGGGGCCTAGGGGAGAGAGAGCATTAGGAGAAATACCTAATGTCGATGACAGTTTGTCGGGGGAAGCAAACCACCATGGCGCGTATATACCTATGTAACAAACCTGCCCATTCTGCACATGTATTCCAGAACTTAAAGCATAATAAAAAAATTTAAAATTTTTAATTATGAGAAATTTCAGACATAATGTAGAAAGAACAGTAGAATATAGCCCATGTAGGTATCATCCACAGTTGTGAACCCCTGGCCAATCTTGTTTTATTTTTCAGACATTATTTTATTTTATTCTGAGTCTCACTCTTCCACCCAGGATGTAATGCAGTGGCTCGATCTCAGCTCACTGTGACCTCAGCCTCGTGGGTTCAAGTGATTATTTTGCCTCAGCCTCCTGAGTAGCTGGGATTATGTGCCACCATGCCTGGCTGAGTTTTGTATTTTTAGTAGAGTAGGAGTTTCACCATTTTTGCTAGGTTTGTTTCAAACTCCTAACATCAAGTGATCCACCCACCTTGGCCTCCCAAAGGGCTAGGGATTACAGGTGTGAGCAACCATGCCTCAGATGTAATTTTAATTTGTTTGTTTTACTGCAAATTCTAATTCAGGTCAAATTTCTCAAAATTCTACCAGTTAGATGCTTTTATTAACGTGATTTATGCTGTTTTTAAAATACGCATATGACGTACTTTGCCACATGAGTTGGAAAAATTAAAAAGCCCAGAAGATAGATTGAGACAAAATGGCTTACATTGAAGGATTCCATGCTGAATAAAAGCATTGAGACCTTTGGTGGGTGAATTGAAATACTCTTTTCTGTTAGTGCAGATAAGAAGTACTTTTGATTGCTTCGACTTAACAACAAATCTTTCCTTTAAAATGTGTTGGCTACATATAGTTAGCATGGGAGAGAAAAAAGTTGAGAACCAGTGATGTAAATAAGCATACAAATATGCAATAGAAATCTTAGATCACTCATGAGTAAGGAAATGCCTATTTACATTTAAACCATAGTTCAAGAAAATCTGACATAACTCTGGTAATGAGTTTTATAGTGCAAGCAATTTCTATGTATATTTTTCAACGAATTATTTATAGACTTTTAAAGGATGCCATAACGTTTAAAACATGTAAACATATTCTAAGTTACAACTGTGTACTAGGAGGGCACCACACATCTTTTTTTACAAACTTTAAATGGAAAAATATTGAAACTAATAATTTTTGTTTTCGTTTTGAAAAAGTACAAGATCTTACTCTGTAACCCAGGCCAAGTGCGGTGGTAAAGTCATAGCTTACCGCAAGCTGCAGTTCCCAGGCTCAAGTGATTCTCCCTCCTTAGTTCCCCCAGTAGCTGGGACTACAGATGTGCACTGGAATGCCTGGCTAATTTTTATTTTTTTTCAGTAGAGACTGGATCTTGCTATGTTATGCAAGTTGAAGAATATTTTAACAGTGGTAAAATACCTGTAACATAAAATTTATCATCTTAATCATTTTTAAGTATATGAACTAAGAAAATTATAACTTTATAAGGTTAGGATTCAATCCACCCAAGTCAGTAGACAGTTATGTATTTATTTATCTTTTATACCATTAAGAATAAAGTCACCACGAAATTGTTTACATTTGTTTTTCAGGTCATTACTTCCTTTTATGTGGAGCGTGGAGGAAATGCTATGTCCTTCATGGGAAAAGGTGTTACAAAGAGCACAATTCTTTGCTTGCTTCACTTATCCCATGAGATGATGGCCCAGGCTGGGAGCTTGGTGAGCGCATTAAAGCTGTCTGTCTTCTTAACAGTTAGTTGAAAAGGAATATGCTGTGTCCAACACATTTCAAGCACATGAACTTGCTACATTAAAATGTCTCTTTTGACTTTTTAGGAAACAAGAATGATTTTTGACTAGGATGTTTCTTAGAAGTTGTATATTAACAAATCTGAATTTTATTTGAAATTGATTAAAATCTGCATTCACTGAAAAATTACCTTTTGTCTAAATCATGGGAAAAATAGCTTCTGTCAAAAATATTGTTATGTTTAATTTTTTAAAGAGAAACATTTTTTTTTTTGTTTGCCTTGTTTTGGCTGAATAATGGGATTAAAACCAAGTCTAAAATACATTTTTATGTTCTTTTATTAAAAATTCAGAATTGTTTTAACCTTCCTGCATTTTCTTTTTAGAAACTTACCTAAAGTATTTCTGTTTCCCCTTTTTCCCAGTAGGAGTGGATGTCACTTTGGTTCTTGCCTTTGGGTAGTCATAGTGAAGAACACATTCCTACTCAACAGGGATTGGCTTGGTTGATTCCATTATGGGTTGATCGGGACCCAGAGGTCAGTGTGAAGGAGAATCAAGTTTATTGTGTTTAGATTAAAAACAAATGATACAAACCATAAATATATATACATATATTATATTTTAGTGACTCTACCTTATATTTTATTTAAGCCCTGATTTAGCTTAGGCTGCCATAACAAAACACCATAGACTGGGTGGCTTAGACAACAAAAACTTCTTTTCTCATAGAAGTTTTGGAAGCTGAAAGCCCAAGATCAGGGTGCCAACATAGTCAAGTTCTGGTGAGGGCTCTTCTTCTGGCTTGTAGATGGCTGCCTTCTTGCTGTATATTCACATGGCCTTTCCTTGGTCCATGCATGTGGGGCAGGGTAGGGAGGGTGGTATAGAAACAGATTTGTCTCTTTTTTTAAAATTATTATTATAAGGTTGTCAGTCTTACCGAGATAGTACTGCTCCCTTATGACCTCATTTAACCTTAATTATCTCCTAGGAGCCCTATTTTTAAATGTAGTCACTCGAGCATAAAGGCTTCAACATATGAGTTTTGGAGGGATGCCGTTCAGTTCATAGTTTTCCATCCCTGGACCCCTTAACTTCATGTTCTTTTTTCATGCAAAATGCTTTTATTCTCCCTTAACAACCTCAAAAATCTTAACTTATTCCAAAATCAACTGTAAAGTCTAAATTCCAAAATCTCATCTAAATAACATCTAAACCACATATGGATAAGTCTCTAGACATAAACCCTCCTGAGACAGAATTCTTCTCCAGGTGTGAACCTATGAAACCATACAAGTTATATGCTTCCGAAAGATGATGGTAGGATAGACATTCCCATTCCAAAAGGGAGAAACAGGAAAAAAGGAAGAAGTGATGGATCCCAGGCAAGTCCAAAGCCTCGCAAAACAAATTCCATTAGATCTTAATGCCCAAGGATAATGTTCTTTGGCTTAATGCTGTGCCTTACAGGCCCACCAGGGTGACAGCATCTAGATGGCTCTATGGGGTGACCTCATCCCTTTGGGTCTCTTCAAGAGCCCTGCCCATAAAGGTATCTTCAAGGGCAGCCCTGTCCCTGAAGCACTGGGCAGGATCATCATCCTGGCCCACTGAAATCAGAGAGGTACTTAAAACCAGGAGGAAAAGCCATCCCCCAGTCCTGTGGTGGAAGGGCAGCCTGGTGATCTCGAAATCATTTTCTGGGTCACTATTACCTTTCATGAAGAATACAGTAGTCTCCCCTATCAGAGGTTTCATTTTCCAAAAGCAGCCTGAAGATGAGTAGTAGCCTAACACTCCCTCACCATGCCTACATCATTCACCTCACCTCTTCTCTTCATGGAAGCATTGTATCATCTCACATCACTACAAGAAGGCTGAGTGCAATACAATAAAACGTATATTTTGAGAGAGAGACCACGTTCATATATTTCATATTACAGCATGTTGATATAACTGTTATAACTTATTTTTATTGTTGCTAATCTCTTACTGTGCTAATTTGTAAGCTTTATCATAGATATGTATGTGTAGGAAAAAAACATAGTAGTTACAGGGCTCAGCACTCTCTGTGGTTTCAGGTGTCCGCTGGGGCTCTTGGAATGTATTTCCCATGGATAAGGGAGGGACCACTGTAGCATATATTGCTTACAGATTCCAGGAAGTCCAACAGCTTTCCTTCATTCTATGCATCTTTCTCTGTCCTCTTTAGTTCAAACTAGCAGTGTCTTTGCTGATATAATCTCATCTCTATTCCTGGCTTCTGCTGAGATGTCTAATTAAGTCCATGAATTGCAACCGTGATCTCTTTCTTAAATGATTATTCAGCCACACCCTCCATGTTCTCTTTAAAACAAGCTTCTCAGTTTTTGCACGGATAGGCTGAGAATTTTTCAAATCTTGTTCTTGTTTCTTTTTGCTTACCCATTCTTAATTCCTTCTTTAATTCATCTCTCTCCTTTTGCATTTTGCTATAAGCAATCAGGAGGAACCAAGCCACTTTTCAACACTTTGCTTAGAAATCTCAGCTAAATATCCAATTTCATTGCTCACAAATTCTGCCTTCCACAGAACACTAGAACATGACCACAGCTCAACCACTTTTCTTTCTAGTTTATAACAAGGATTGCCTTTCCTCAAATAACCTTTTTTAAATAACGCTTTCCTCATTTTTGTCTGAGATCTCATGAGAGTTACCCATGTCTACGTTTCTGGCGTGCACCTCAAAACTCTTCCAGCCTCTAGCCCATTACCTAGTGCCAAAGTCACCTTCATGTGTTGAGGCATTTGTTTCAGCAGCATCCCCACTCCTTGGTACAAATCTGTGTTAGTGTGCTCAGGCTTCTATCACAAAATATTATCACCTGAGTGGCTTACAAACAGAAATTTATTTCTTGCAGTTCTGGAGGCTGCAAGTCAAGATCAGAATGTCAACATGGTTGGTTTCTGGTTTACAGATGGCTACGTTCTCACTGTGTGCTCACATGACTTCTCCTTGGTGCATGCATGTGGAGAAAGATTTCCCTCTTTCTTGAGCCCAACATTCCTAGTGCATTAGGGTCCCACCCATATAACTTCATTTAACTGTAGTCACCTTCTAAGAGCTCTATCTCCAAATACAGTTTGGGGATTAGGGCTTCAACATAGGAGTTTTGAGAAGACAAAGTTCAGTGCACAGCACCCTCCTTTTCAATCAAATTTGTTAGAGTATAGATTGAAAATATAAAAGAGAAAAGGTTAAAGTATCTATTACTTTCAGAAGAGTGGAAAATTATTGGAGAGGCTTAGCCATTTTGAAACTGTTGAGAAGGATCTGGAAATTATAGTTAAGTGACATGTAAGTGTCATATAATGAAATTAAATGCCAAAATTGCATTTGCGTTACCCTACAAAATTTTATATTATTAAAGAACTTTCCAGTTTTAGCCAGTTGTTCACTGATTTCAAGCAAGAAATGATTAGATGCCATTATAATAAAACCTTATTTATAGAAATATTTGAAATACATTTTTTAGTCACATTGAACTTGGACTTACTACTTGACTGTGTTATGACTGCATTTTTTTTTTTTTAAATCCTGTAGTGATCATTGAAACTATATTTTTGGGTTAGAATTCAGAAATTTACCAACATGTATGGCTTGAACAGCAGTGGTTTTACAGCAAGTATGATATACCATGTCAATCTTACTTGGAAACATTTTTCTCTTAAAATCATTTTTTGAAGAAAATACAAAATGCCTTGTAAAATGGTAATTGCCTCTTTGTTTAGAAGTTTTAAGAAAGTTAAAACCTTTTATTTGGAAGAAACACTAAAAAATTAAGAAAGGTAGAACAAAGAATAGCTACCTTTTTTAAGAATGAAGAATAAATTGAAATTGCGTTCATAAAAGGTAAGTGCCCTATGCTTTCCCTAGAAAAATACTTGCAAAACTGTAAATTGTATGCTTCTTTTTATACCCAGTTTTAATTTGCTTTGAAATTTGGTTATATTTAATTTTTCCTATATTATTCCTTCTTTGAATCGTGGAATGGGATTTTTATTCATTCATAAACTTATAGGACACTGTGTTCTGTAGATGTTTTTTATAATTTAGGATCATAAAATCAATGCTATATGTTTTTTAAAGTATGATATTTTATATACCCAAAAAATAAGAATTTATGTTAGGAAAAAGGCTTATTTGATTCGACAACTTTCTCTTCAATTTGAACAGGTGAGATTCACTTCACTGGGATTAGGATCAGCACTGACCACCCTTGAAACTGGCTGTGTGGCCTTGGCAAACAGTTGTCAGAACATTTCTGGGGGGCTCTGGGGAACTGTGGTGAACATTCTTCTGGACCAGTCCGAATGTAGTATGGTGCGCCGGGAGGTATGTCTGTTTTTTAGCACTCTTTCTCCTTAGAAATTCTTTGTGATAGTGTCTGTAAGCGATACGTGACTCCTGATCAACATGGTGGGCTGACCACCGACCATTATCTCTTCCACCTGTGAAAAAACCCAAACAAAATGACAGTAGAGGACTTAAAAGGTATTAATTCACAGTAAAAACTTCCCGTAAGATCAAATCAGAATATACTACGTTTGAATGTGAACTCTTTTATTTTATTATGCATTGAAAAATAGTTCACAGGAAAAAATTACTTTTATATTATCTCAGCATTTATGGGTCTGTAATATTTATGAAGCTTTAATATAGATAAGAGGCTGTCAAAATAACTTTGTAGTATTTATCATATAACATGAGGGAAAAATAAACCCTATTTTAATTCTTTCTAAATAGTTTGTTTTTTTTATTGCTGCTTTTATTAAGTAATGATTCATGTAAATAGTTTTAAAACAATAATCAAATTGTACTTAGAGGTTTATGAAAAAACAGCAGTTCCTGGGTCCACCATTAGCCAGCCCCCAGTTCCAAGCTCAAAAGGCTAGTTTTCTTGCTATCTGACTTCATGTTTTTAAGTAGTAATGTTTATATTTATGGCTTCTTCTTGATTTATCAACTTCAAAGCTCTTCTGTCACTTCTAGTTACCATGTTTGGAAATGCCAGTTTCTGAGACCACCCTGTTAATCCTGTCATTCTCCCATTATGGTTATATCATCTTTCATTAAGTAGACAGTCAATGCTCCTATTCGTATGATTATTTAATTTGGTCATCTGCAGGATCTAGTCAGTCAAGTTGGACATTTGTGGTTTGTATTTCTAGTTGGCAAATTTTTATTGAAAAGAGTCTGTATAAAAAAAGCGAGAGAGGGCAGGGAGAGGGGTGTGTGTTTAATCTTAAAGGGGACAGTCAAAACCTAAAAGTATATTTCGTAAATGCTCCTGGAAGAGTTTATATTATACAAATAATTTTTTAATAAAGCTGAATTCTGAACTAGGAAAAAATATATTTTCTGATGAAATAATTTCATATACTGTTAAGTCATTACCTACCAAGGTCATCACCTAACAAGAAATACAGTTTGACAATTCTCATAGTGACCTCTCAGCATGTGCAATTGACCAGAGATAAGTCTTTTGCTATTACATTACAATATATTGGTTATTTCAGAGATGACAACAAGATGGCAGTATTGACTTTTTTTTTTTTTTTCATTTTCAGGCTGCATTTATTTTTCAGAATCTCCTTGTAATTCCAATGCCTACAGAAATTATAAAGGATCATACTTGGCAGGTGGGTGATTTTAAACAATTATCAACCTAGTAGGTATTTCAAATTAGTTGATGATAAATTTTCAGCATAAGTAGTATATTTCATTTCTGATGAAACTATATACAATATACTATATATTCTCTTAAAACAAAATGTAGAGTTTTTTTTATGCTGACCATACTTAAAAATTCTCCTCCGTAGTGTTCAAAATAATTTTAAATGATAATAGTTGACATGATGTTTACTATATTTAGACACTCTTCTAGAAATGTAAGACATAGTAACTTGTATAATTGTTTGAGTTGTGAACTGTTACTCTTCTCGTTTTCTAAGTTTAGGAACTTTTGAACAGAGAGTTTAAATAGTTTGCCCTAAATCACACAGCTAGTCAGTGGCGCACCTTTGCTTTGAGTCTAGGTAGTCTCTTACCCACTTCACCGTATTACTTTTCTAATTTAGTAATGATAAACAAATTTGTAGGTATGTGTTGATGTTAACACAATTCTTATTTGTTAATTACTTCCGTGTATTATTATAATAAGGGATCTAATTTGTGATGTTAAGCAGTTTATTGTAAATCTCTTGGGTGTTTGGCATGTTTTGTGCATGTAAGTATGTTATAACTTGCTTAAAAGATAGAATTTCTTGAAGCTGTGAAAATTGGCTCTGTGTTTTTGGATGAATACTTTGCTGTATATAATTAGATAAGGTAATGCATTATAGGGCCCCATTGCTTGTAACAAATATACCTTGGTTAATAAATGACCACATAACCCCATTCTCCTTGTGTTTCTATTTTACCTGATTCTTCTAGACCTCTACATTTAAAATAACAATGACCACCATGTGCTGGCTGTTCCTTACGGTAGTCTTATTTCTTATATAAATTGCTCTGTTTAGGAAGAGTAAGCTCACAATGTTGTTAGATTTATTAAAACACAACAATAACAACTTCATAGTCATAAAAGACATTGAATATTGAAGTAAGAGTTTTAATTATAGTGACGTATATAAATGTTCTCAAAAAGAAGTGTTAATAGAAATACCTTGTTAGTTTAATTATGCCTTTAACTTGTGAATTCCTTTATCTTTCTGAAGAGTAAGTTAAAATATCTATCTTTTCTTGATGATGGGGAGTGTGAAAGAAGAGACACACACACAAATCTTATGGTTAAAGGGAAACTTGGAATATGTTTTGACCATATCTTTTTTGTTGGCTGTTAGATTTACGTTTGCTATCTTTTATTTTTCTCTTTCTTATGGCCTGTTTTAAAATCTTAACTTTATTATAATTTCCCAGAAAATAGAAATATTTATAAACTAATGATGGGATTGTTTGCAAACTTTAAACCAATCCTCATTGCTTGATATTTGCTATTAGATATTCCAGGAAAAGTAGTAAGTGACAATGCAAAATATTGAGGAAAAATGCAAAGAGAAAAAAAATTATGTGATCACAGATTCTTTTCAGCCTCCTGGTGGCAGTTCGTGTGTGTGTGTGTGTGTGTGTGTGTGTGTGTGTATGTTTTCCTCGTTAGGATGAATTCAACAGGAAGTAATGTGGCAAATTTTGCCTTGGATATTGATGGACTTTTTCGTTTTGTTTGGCTTAGTGATAGGTATAAAAAATAATTGTGAACATAATTACTTGGACCACCTTATTTCATATATTTTAACACCTGGTATTTTACATTATATGTAAATTGAAAAATACTGCTTTTATTGTGTTTTTGGCTCAAGTATATGATTTCTTGGTTAAAGCTGATCATTTCATAGAAACATTTTAAATGAAATGGCCCCTCAAGAGAGAGAACAGCTTTGTGCCTTCAGGGGATGTTTAGGCAGCAAAGGCCTAGAGCATTTTTGTCCTAGGTCAGGCTGCTGTAAGTGTGTAAGGACAGAAGCAGAGTGGAAGGAGATGGTAGCATCTGAGACCCATTCATTTCCTTGAGAGGAGACAATGGATTTTTTTAAAGAAATTGTTTGATACGTCAGTGTCTCCTTCTTTCCCTCTTTTCCTACAGGGGCCCTGTGTCCATGATGAGGACTCTGGCCTATCACTCATTGGAAAACCTGCCCTTCAGGCTCTTTTATATCATTGCCATTTTTATGAACATTTGAATCAGATGGTAAAACATTGTTACCTAGGGCGGTGTGTGTTTGATTTGAATTTTTCTGCTTTTGATAGAAATTCAGAAGGCAATGATTTAAATGGTAAGTACAATATCTTTATGTTTTTATTTTTATAATATGTGACTTTTAAAAACTGGTGAAAATACATATGTTTGTTTAAAAATTTTGAAAAATAAAGGAAAGTATACAGGGAAAACATTCATTTCCATTTCACCACCCAGATAGATATATTTTCTTCCAGTCTTCTTTCTCTGTATAGCTTTCTTTGTTTTATGTAATTACGTTAATATCTTATGTACATGTTTGTATTTCCTTCTTTCATTAAATATTACACAAGCATTTTTCTATGTTATAAATTCTTGATGGAAATTATTTTTGACATCTTATTAATGTTTTATAAGTTATGCCCATCAGTACAGTTTTATAGTTTCTTTTTTAAAAAAATTTATTATACTTTAAGTTCTGGGGTACTTGTGCAGATTGTGCAAGTTTATTACATAGGTATACATGTGCCACGGTGGTGGTTTGCTGCATCTATCGCCCTGTCATCTACATTAGATACTTCTCGTTATCCCACCCCAATCCTCCCACCCCGTTATTCCTCCCCTAGGCCCCCACCCCCTAGGCCCTGGTGTGTGATGTTTCCCTCCCTGTGTCCATTTGTTCTCATTGTCAGCACCCACTTATGAGTGAGAACAGGTTGTGTTTGGTTTTCTGTTCTTGTGTCAGTTTGCTGAGAATGATGGTTTCCAGATTCATCCATGTCCCTGCAAAGGACATTAACTCACCCCTTTTTATGGCTGCATAGTATTCCATGTTGTATATGTGCCACAATCTCTTTAACCAGTCCATCACTGATGGGCATTTGGGTTGGTTCCAAGCCTTTGCTATTGTGAGTAGTGCTGCAATAAACATACATGTGCATGTGTTTTTTTTTTTTCTCTATTTCTGTTAAATATCCCCATTTCCCCAGTTACTCAGCCCTTAAACCTATGAATGCCCCTTGATTTCTTTCTTTCCCTCATCTCCCACATTGATGCCATCAGCTAGTTCTGATGCCTTGATGCCAATAGTATATTCCTCACTGCCTTGTCTCCTATTGCCTGAGTCTAAGACATCAGTCTCTTCTGCCCAGTTCATTGCCCTGGCCTCCTGATTGATCTGTTTTTATAATAGAATGATTTATAATCCTTTGGGTATATACCCAGTAATGGGATTGCTGGGTCAAATGGTATTTCTATTTCTAGATCCTTGAGGAATTGCCACACTGTCTTCCACAATGGTTGAATTAATCTACACACCCACCAACAGTGTAAAAGTGTTCCTATTTCTCCACATTTTCTGTAGCATCTGTTGTCTCCTGATTTTTTTTAATGATCACCATTCTAACTAGCGTGAGGTGGTATCTCAATGTAGTTTTGATTTCCATTTCTCTAATGACCATTGATGCTGAGCTTTTTTTCACATTTGTTGGCCACGTAAATGTCTTCTTTTGAAAACTGTCTGTTCATATCCTTTGCTCACTTTTTGATGGTGCTGTTGTTTTCTTGCAAATTTGTGTAAGTTCTTCATAGATGCTGGATATTAGCCCTTTGTCAGATGGGTAGATTGCAGAAATTTTTTCCCATTCTGTTGGTTGCCAGTTCACTCTATAGATAGTTTCTTTTGTGGTGCAGAAGCTCTTAAGTTTAATTAGATCCCATTTGTCTATTTTGGCTTTTGTTGCGATTGCTTTTGGTGTTTGAGTCATGAAGTCCTTGCCCATGCCTATGTCCTGAATGGAATGGTATTGCCTAGGTTTTCTTCTAGAATTTTTTATAGTTTTAGGTCTCATGTTTAAATCATTTATCCATCTGTAGTTAATTTTTGTATAAGGTATAAGGAAGGGATCCAGTTTCAGCTTTCTGCATATGGCTGGCCAGTTTTCCCAACATCATTTATTAAATAGGGAATCCTTTCCTCATTGCTTGTTTTTGTCAGGTTTCTCAAGGATCACATGATTGTAGTTATATGGCGTTGTTTCTGATGCCTCTGTTATGTTCCATTGGTCTGTATCTCTGTCTTGGTACCAGTACCAAGCTGTTTTGATTATAGTAGCCTTGTAATATAGTTTGAAGTCAGGCAGTGTGATGCTTGCTTCCAGCTTTGTTTTTTTTTTTTTTTTTTGCTTAGGATTGTCTTGGCTATGTGGGCGCTTTTGGTTCCATATGAAGTTTAAGGTGGTTTTTTCAATTCCATGAAGAAAGTCATTGGTAGCTTGATGGGGGATAGCATTGAATCTATACTTTGGGGCGGTATGGCCATTTTCATGATATTGATTCTTCCTAACCATGAGCGTGGAGTGTTTTTGCATTTGTTTGTGTCCTCTCTTATTTCCTTGAGCAGTGGTTTGTAGTTCTTGAAGAGGTCCTTCACATTTCTTGTTATATTCCTAGGTATTTTATTCTCTTTGTAGCAGCTGTGAATGGGAGTTTGCTCATGATTTGGCTCTCTGTGTGTCTGTTATTGGTATGTAGGAGTGCTTGTGATTTTTGCACATTGATTTTGTATCTTGAGACTTTGCTGAAGTTGCTTATCAGCTTAAGGAGATTTTGGGCTGAGAAAATGGGGTTTTCAAAATCTACAATCATATCATATGCGAACAGGGACAATTTGACTTCCTCTCTTCCTATTTGAATACCCTTTATTTCTTTTCTCTTGCCTGATTGCCCTGGCCAGAACTTCCAATACTATGTTGAATAGGAGTGGTGAGAGAGGGCATCCTTGACTTGTACGTTTTCAAAGGGAATGCTTCCAGCGTTTCCCCATTCAGTATGATACTGGCTGTGGGTTTGTCATAAATAGCTCTTATTATTTTGAGATATGTTCCATCAATACCTAGTTATGTTAGGCATATCAGTACAGTTTTATAGTTTCTTTCTCTATTAATGTCTTAAACTTTTTTGGAACTTTCATTTCTAGGCAATGTAAATTTTTTCATTCTTCTTGTGAATGAGACCTTTCCCACTACATTTTCTAATGTATTTTGCTCATGTATCAAAAGCTGTTTATTTTAGTATGTTACTCATTTGTCACAGTATTTTCCTGAAACCTGTTTATTCCTTTTGTTTGTAGGTTCTCTTAGATTTGCTGAGTATAAGATCTGAGCACATAAAAATAATAAATGTATTTTATAATAAATAGTAATTTAATACTATAAATAGCTTGTATTTGTAAATTCATTTTTAAAGTAATTTTTTAGACTCTTGCCATAGATTGAAACTTACAGAAAGGTTCAAGAATAGTACAAGAAAATTCTCAAATGTTAACATTTTACTATATTTACTTTCTACTTCATGTGTGTATATGTGTATAAACGGAGATGTATGATCTCTGTGTATCCTTTCTGAGCCATTGAAGAGTAAATTGAAGACATTAATTTCCTTTATCCCAAATTATTAAGTGTGAATTTATGATTTACTTTCTGTTACATCGTGGCGGAATCAAGAAAATGACATTTGATGAAGTTTTGAACATTTTAAATAATTATCCCTGTTGGAAAAGTGACTGACTTAATTGTGTAAATTTCTCTGGATCAGTTACTCAGAGCATGGCCCCAACTAATAGCATTGGCATCTTCTGTGAACTTGTTAGAAATGCACATTGAGGTCTTCCATTCTTACCTGGGGTATTGGAACCTCTGGGGTTGGGACTGCAGCAACTGCTTTAGCAAGCTCTCAGTGATTTTTATGCACATTTAAAAACAAAAAAAAAAAAAAAAACAAAAACAAAAAAAAAACCTCTTTCCTTACATTTGCTTTAAAAAAAAAAATTATCTATCTTAGAAGCTAAATCCATGTAAGTTTTTTTTCTTTCTTTAGTTTTGAATTGGTTTCCCGTAATGAGTACTCTTTTAGTTAATTGTTACAGTTCCCAGGAGGGTTTCCATGTTAACAGTTTTCTCTTTGTTGCAGGTTTAGATGACTCATTCAAGTTTTGGAGGCCTCCATCTAGGATATCCAGTGAGGATCAAGATCCGAATTCTCTCTCCACCTCAGAAACAACGGTACTTGCAAAGAATGCATAAGCGCTTCATTTTGAATCTCTGAAAAAATCTGAATTTGCATGGTGGGAAAAGATAAGAATACAAAGTGTAAGGTTGTAACAGCTATGATTTATTTGAAATGCTGTCTGCAGAATTTTGCTAAATTATTGTGTATAACCTGCACATCAGCCATACATTAGAGATACTTATTTTGCTTTTCTGTGAGCACAAGCCACTCTGAAGTACAAAGTAACTCTGTGATCATTAGTGCTATAGGTAGCAGAATTGGAGTTTGAACAAGGGTGTGCCTTGCTACAGTATAGCTACACTGAATATCCCTTTAGTTGAGAATTTTCAACCACTCTTTCCTCTCTTTTTTTGATAGTACAAAAGTATGAAAGTGTGTTTATCATTAGTATTAGAAGAGAACAGGTTGCATGTGATTAAAAATGCTTGATTACCCTGAGATCATGCTTAAGGGCAGGGCAATATGAAGAACATTAAGATGTTCCAGTGTGGTGCTGACAACTTTAACACACTTCTAAGTACTTGCATCACACAGAAGTTTATCTGGAATACCTGGAATTTATATATGCCTGTCTGCATGCCTTCTTTCCTTCCTTTCATTCATGCATTAGTTGCTTTTTTCTGCAGAAAAGTTTGAAACACTAAGTATTTTTGAGTAATGATTGATGCTAGCTTTCAGTTATTTATAAACATATAGAATCATTTATTCTCAACTGGATAACATTACCTTTAATTTTAAAGTGTTTTTGGAATAATTACTGTATTATATAGAACATATTAGGAAGACAAAGGTTTGATACATCTGTTTCCAGGAACAAAAATAATATGAGAACAGTAATTGTTATATAGACATTATAATTTAAAGATTATGTTTAATCAATCTCCTAGTTTCTCAAAAGACTGATACCTTTTGCTACAGTTTTAAGTCTTTCTTCCCCTACATTCAAGAGAAGTATTTATGTTTAGTGCTACATCGGGCCTTTATATGGAAAAGTAAGATAATTATCCGAGTTCCACTAGATGTCATGCTTTCCTTTCCCACGTGGAGATAGTGTGTACGTTTGTCTCAACAAGAGTAATAATATGATAAATACCAAAGTGAAGTGTATTAATTGGTTATTTAGTTCACAGAAGGACAACATGAATATGTGCTTAAAAGTAAATTTTCTTAGGTTAACCTATTTGTCAGAAGCTATAGACTAGCCTAGAAATCTTTGTACATACTTCAGTTTTTTGCTTTTCATAGGTATTCAGTAAATAGTGATTGTCCTAATTAACTTTGAGTTATCGTAGCTATTTTGTGGTGAGCATTCAAGTTGTATTTATCCTATACAAGAAAACACGTCTACTTTTTACTTTCTTTTTTGGGGGGGTTCCAAACAATTTTTAGAATGGGTGACTTTTATTCACAAAAATAGTCTTAGTATCCTAATTCTACTAGTTGTCATATTTTCTTTACCATACCCCCGATGATCTGTATCTTTGTCCCAATGGGAGAAAAATCTGGAGATTTATGCCAGGAATACTTTCAACTAAAGGTGCCAGTGCTTAGACCAAGTCATACTTTCTCATTTTTAGAAAATGTTGAAGTTACAAATTGAGGTATAAGTTAAGTGGATGTACATCTTATTAATCAGCTTATCTGCTTATTTTTATCTTTGTTTCATCTCAGAATTGAGAAAAAATGCAATCTTTTATTGGTTGATTGGCTGGTTTTTCTGTTTTGTCTTTCCAAGGGAAGCATCATCTTTTGATTTGGGTCTTGTCATCCAGCATGCTCCTTCTGGGTCACTATCCATTTTGTGCTGTTAATGCCAAGTTAGGGACTTTCCTGCTGTTATCTAGTGAGTATTGGTTCAGTTGTTTGGCAAGCTTTGTAAGGATTGTTGGGTCCTGTATGTTTTATAAACTACAGATAGAGTAAGCAGAGTGTCAGTGTTAGATTGGGGGCATTGGCCTTGTAAATGCTTCCTCAGGAATGGTCTCTATCAAGCTCGGTATTCTCTTTCTCTAGGGTAGGAGGATTCAGCCATTAGGTGTTGTTTTTCCTCTCGAAATCACATTTATACTTCTGAGAAGTATCCAAGATGGACAAGTGTTTGTGTCTCTTGCATACCTGTGTGCAGCAACAGCTTTATGACCAAAATTTGGTCTTTCCTATTGTTCGTGAGCAGAGCTATGTCTGTATTTTTTTTTTTTAATCAATTGTCAAAATAGAATATGTGGGAAATGTAATTCTTTTCTTTTTGAGCCTTTCTTTGTGAAATATGTGATACTTTCAAATTTTTGGAGCACAAATTTAAAGAATGCTGATTTTAGTTTTTCTGAAGATTGAAAGAGAATTTTTTTTTTTTTTGAGACGGAGTTTCGCTCTTGTTACCCAGGCTGGGGTGCAATGGCGCAATCTCGGTTCACTGCAACCTCCACCTCCTGGGTTCAAGCAATTCTCCTGCCTCAGCATCCTAAAAGAGAATTTTTATACTTAATAGTCTTAAAAAAGTTGGGCTGGGCACAGTGGCTCATGCCTATAATCCCAGCACTTTGAGAGGCCAAAGCGGGCAGATCACGAGGTCAAGAGATCGAGACCATCCTGGTCAACATGGTGAAACCCCATCTCTACTAAAAATACAAAAATTAGCTGGGTGCAGTGGTGCACACCTGTACTCTCAGCTACTTGGTAGGCTGAGGCAGGAGAATCGCTTGAACCTGGGAGGCAGAGGTTGCAGTTAACTGAGATTGTGCCACTGCACTCCAGCCTGGCGACAGAGCGAGACTCTGTCTCAAAGAAATAAAAACAAACAAAAAAACCTGAAAAGCATTGTTATTATCTTGCAAAAGGGGAAATTTGGGTATGGAGTGAGGTCCCACTCCTAGCATAGTAGATGGTAGAACATTCTTTTGAGTCCAGAAGTGTGTTTGCCCCTTCCTTCACTCTAAGGCCAGATGTGATTGATCCCATAAAAGATGTTATAGTCAAGCAGCAGTGAGATTTCTTTAGAAGGCATGGTGAAATGAGAAGTAATTTTGTGTAGGACATGGCAATTGAAATGGGCTTTAAAATATTATCCCCTTCTCTTTTATACACATGCACACATTTGCAAGGGGCTGAAAAGATTCAAATATTCCTTAGGATTCAGTGACCACTGAAATGATAAAAGTCTACGTGAGAACATAAAGTATAATTAGAAAGTAACTGAATGTAAAGTTGTGTGGTCCTGAAGGCATTAACATTCAGAAAATACAAGAGGCGTTTTGGAGTAGAATGTGGGAGGGAAAGCTGAAGTTTGATGACCTGACTAATCAGATAGGAGTTAGTTAAGAAAGCTGAGTCAGCTTTCGGATTTGAAGAGATAAGATATAATAGCTATAAAGATAAAGATAAAAGGATATTTCAGCGGCATGGAATGGCATGAAACATTATGAGAGAAATAACATTGATACTCATTTGATGGTAGTTAAAATTGTTTCATAGAATGAAGAGCAGACAGAGGACAGTTTAAGCAGGGATGGATCTAAGGGGCTTTTTAAAATAAAAATAGTTTTGACATAGGCATCACTGTTAGGACATATACAGACTTCCAGCGTGGTGACCCCAGGAAAGCTTGAGGAGGTGGCAATTTGTGTGGTGGTGGAGAGAGAAAGAAAATGATATACTCTGTTTAAATAAATTTCAGCCACCTGTGGATTATCGAGAATCTAACAACCTTATGTATTTAATTAGGAGGAAAATGCAAGTGAAACAAGCTCTTGGGAATTTGTGCCCTTAAATTACACAGAGGACGGCACAGGGACTGTGACTATGTTGTGGTGATAATCTGTCCCTTTAAGCAGTCTTTTCGTTAGATGTGCAAGAGTCGTCTACCATCTTCTGCTCATTTCCTTCAAAGGAATTTTCTGAACTTTCTTTTTTGAAGTATATTGTACACATCCATTTGAATTATGAATCTATTAGTTACAATGATTTAAACTTCTTATTATAGTTTAGTTAGAATTAATGATTACAGATTGAGAAGCATGCCAAAGCTTTTCTTCTCTTGGACATATCGAGAAAAGTATTATTTATTAAAATGAACACATGGAACTTAGAATCTCATAGAAACCCTTCACATCTGATAATTTCCCATGTTTTAAAAACATGGCTATATTTGTACTTTATTTTTTTTCACACTACAATCCTTATTTTCTCCCTTTATACCTTTTTAAAAACAACCTTTTTTGGCACCAGTATTGCTTTTGAGGGAAGTTGATGAAACTGTTATTAGATCATTTTGACAAATAAAATATTCAAGTTCTGAAATAACTTTCAAAAAGTGAAATCACTTTTTTCTGTAAGGCAGATACAAAGAAAATCATTTTTGAACATTGCTGCATTTTTGCTTATATGACAGAAATTGTCTTTTTTTGTGCTCCAATTCTACTTGGATATGGCAAATGACTGCTATTTTCAGGGATTTCAAAGGAACTTTCTTAATTTTAGCTGCTTATCTTAAACTGAAGCATAATTTAGAAACCTTCTTTAGTTACCAAATCTGCTTACAAACACATTGAAGACTGTTTTTTTTTGTTTTTATAAGCAAGATTTGAGTCAATTTTATTTTTTATTCTCCCTTAGCTTTGAGCTATAAATGACAAATAAAATTGTATGTATTTAAGGTATACAGTGAGATTATCTTATATATGTATATGTGGTGAAATGATTACCACAGTCAAATTAGTTAACCTTAGAGTTAACCTTTTGTGTGTGTGTGGTGAGAACACTTAAAATCTACTCTCTTAAGAAATTTCAAGTAGACTGTGTGGTATTATTAAGCATATTCACCATGCTGCACATTAGATTCCCAAGACTTACCCATCTTATCTGAAAGTTTGCACTCTTTGAATAAACATCTCCCCCTTTCCCCAACTGCTATCCGCTAGCAACATCCATTACACAATCTGAGTCTGTTTTAGGACAGTACCTTTAAAAGTAGCATCAACCTGCTCAAAAAAGCTTGTATTGTCTTCTGCAATATCTGCAAAGTGATAAGACTAGAAATATTTTCAAATTCAGGTTTCATTTTGTCTTATCAAGGGAATATAAATTGAAGATCTTAGGATATGTTATGTGGTAGATGTGAAAACAAGGGACAAGTCTAGACCATGATTTTGCACTTAGCCCATTTTAGTGAACTGAGCAAGTGATGGATATAAGAATTAGATTCTCAGGGTTGTAAGAGGACAACCCTAGGCATCCCACTTGGGGCTTCCTACCTACTGTGAGGTAGAGAGCACGAAGCTTGACAGGAAGGGATGACTTAGGCAGGCTCAGCTGGCTCTTAAACGAAGCCAACTCCCCTCCTTCAGCTCTCCCTCCTCTGTCTGGGATGGGACAGAGATCTTAGTCTAGCTGAAGTTTCATGGGGACACGGGGATCACGGAGAAAGAAGCCTCTCCTCTCAAACGAGGCCAGCCACCTTTCTCAAGAGGTACATCTGAGGACATGCTCTGATTTTAAGGCATGTATGCCGTCATTCATGAATGCAGTCCTGGACTGAGAATCCTGATTACTCTCAACTTCAACAAATCCCTTAACTTGGGGTCCTTTTCTCTAAATGAGGACCTGGACTAGATCAGGTTTTCTCTACCTATAGCTTTGTAGGCTCATAGTGCACCTTCTAATAGCTAGTACTTGAATGCCAAAATTGTCTAGTTATTACTTGGATTTCAAGGTGAAAAGTAACATATTTACATATCAGTGTACATTATCAAATATAACCAAATACTATAGTAGAGAGTATTTCTAAACAAGCAAGGATTTGAGCAGAGAAGTGGAGCAATTTTTTGTTTTTACTTATTAAAATAGCAATGTGTTAATTTAGCAAATTTAAAAAATAGAGAGGCTAGTAGAAATATAAATCATCCGTAGTCAAGTTTAAAGCACCATATAAGGCAATCTTTGTGTTTCTCCAACCACATGACATAAGTTTTAATACAACTATAAGGTACTTTCTAGAAGGATCTTTTCTAAACTTGTGTATCCCTTCTGTGCAGTATACTAGGGAAAATCACATCTTTATTAATGCCTGACCTTTGTTCACAAATCACAACTTAGCTTTCTTCTAATGAGCCAGGTATTAAATGGGCCCATATAAGCTTTCTTTCTGCACACTGATCTTGAAACTGCAAACCAGGTACCTATTTATATCACTAATAAGGCCTTCTTGAGTCTTTGTCAACTGAAAGAATGTTCGGTGAAATGATAAAGGATTTCAGCATCATTATCTCCTTAACTTTTCTTATACAACCAAGAGTTGTGGCAGGAGCCAGATAGATTAGCTTCTGCATAGTTCGTGGTATCAGTCTTGGCATATGATTTTCTTCACTGAACTATAAATGTTGTCTTGATGTCTGTTGACAGGAACATTTTTTCACATTCATCTCATGGCCAATTGTAGGCAAATATATTTTTTAAATTAAACAAGCTTTAAGTTATTTTTACCTAGTATCTGGATCTAATATTATATAAAATAAGGCATTTAATGTTTGTTTATGTTTGACTTATTTAGGCTGAATGTTTTTCTGGATTTAGCTTTTAGATTACTTTATATGCCTAGCTTACATTTTGTAGCTGCAGCTTCCTCACTTATTTCTTGGTATCATGACTGTTATATTTACTTAATGTGGTGAAAGATGGTTAAGGGCTCAAGTTAAAAGATTCAAAAAACTGTATATTTCATGTTCATAATTTCTTCAAATTTATGTTCTGTTTACTATTAGAAACTGCAAATGAAAATAACCTTATTTTTTGCTTTCATTATATCATAGTAAGTCTAAGGTACTCTATTTAAGTGTTACGATATATACACAATCAACATACAGATGTCTAAGTGATACAGGATCTGAGTCTGGAGTGGTACTTTATAACTTCTGTTGATCGCTTATGTTGTGATGCATGCACTGATATGGAGGCTACCCAGATATGGGCACTTCATGTTATTTCACAGAAGAGAAATTGGTGGTAAAGAAAAGAGTTATCTGATTTCACCATGTAAAGTGTTTTTCACCTAAGAGGTGCCAAACACATCACTTTGTGCTTTTTCAGTCTTAGAAGGTCTGTCTGCTGATTATACACCTGTAGATGAAATTGTATTTGCTTTCCACAGATTTTTCTGTTAGGTTAAATGTTGTATTCTGAAGCAGTGCCAGCATATTGGCACAATGCTCTTCCTTGATGTGAGATGAGGTGGAGAAAAATCTTTTAATACTTCTAATTTTTTAGGCATTATTAAAATATATGTGTGCCATTTGGAACATTAAAAAATATCTTTGGTATGAATCAAGAAATGCAAAATATCACAATGAAATATAGTTACAGTGGTATATTTTAGCCTTTCTAACATTTGAGCAGTGAGGGAATTGACTTTATGGGAACCTTAAACTCCTAAATCAGGCATCCCCAAACTTTTTACACAGGGGGCCAGTTCACTGTCCCTCAGACCATTGGAGGGCCGCCACATACTGTGCTCCTCTCACTGACCACCAATGAAAGAGGTGCCCCTTCCTCAAGTGCGGCAGAGGGCCGGATAAATGGCCTCAGGGGCCACATATGGCCCCTGGGCTGTAGTTTCCGGATGCCTGTCCTAAATGAACCTCAAGTTAAAACTTTGCTCCTTTGAGTCACTGATTTATGTAAACAATGACAATCCCTGTAAGAAGAAGTAGAAAATGTCATTTATAAAAACTACTGTAACTCCCAAGATATGAGTATTTTCTAGTTATCTTAACCAGTACAATTTTTTTATAAACCTTCTTGTTTAAGGATACCTTGTATATATGTTGCTTGTGTTTCATTTTCCATACTGTCACATTAATAGGTAAAATAATTTACTGATTCATAGGTGGCACCTTCATCGGAGAGTGCTGAATTTCAGCCACTTGTGCAGTCAACGACACTTCTACCTGAAGCCTCCCATGACCAGTTTGTGGCTCAAGGTATCCTTTTAGCGAAGACATTCTATCTTCAAAAAGAAAAATGACAAGTTGGTCCAGACAGATATTTTGAAAGTAAATGTTTAAAGAACATAATTTGAGTGAAATAAGTTATAGACCATTATGAAATAAATTTAGAATAAATATATCAGAAATTAACAAAACAAATGCTCTTAACTCATAAATGGAATTTGGCTACCAAATAGTCTGATTCCCATATAGCTCCTTATTAGACTCTCATAGGTATTTGACATTAGAATTTGGGAACTGATGGGTATAACTTTATTTTTTCCCTTCTTTTGAGAAAACACTTTACTACAAGTAATTCACTTTGAAAGTAAAGAGATTCTGGTCTTTTCTAAGGCTGTGCTTCCATTTAAAAGCACATAAAATGTATTCAGTCTTTATTTTATTAGAAATACACAATACACAACTTGTGACTTATTTTTATTAATGACAATATATAAACTGTACTCCTGGTACTGGGAACTGCTTCCAACACTGCTGTGCTTCAAATTTTATATATTTTGAAGATTGCAGGTTAGCTTTTATTTTTTTTTTTTTTATTTTTTTTTTTTTTAATTCTAGAAAGTATATAAATATTATTCAGTAGCATTAAATTCCTGACTTGAAAGAAATATACTACCTAAAAAGAAAGTAATTTTAAACACTGGCATACATACTCGTATATGCAGAGAAAATGCTTTCTGAAATGTTTAGAAAAACTTGCTGAATTAAAACTTTGAATTTTCATTACAATATTGTTTCCAATAATTTCCTAAACAGTGTTCCATTTTGGTTTTTAGTAATTCATGTTCACGATATGTAAAAAGATTTAACTGTAGGAAATACTCATTTGATCTTTTTTTTTTAAGCATCAGTGTTTTAATACCATGAAATATAAGTACAAAACATTGTATAAGTATACTTTTTAACTACACGGAGATGAACTAATACATTTATATTTTTATCAGAACCTGTACCACCCAGCACTGGCCAATGTACTAGTAGCTTTCCACAGGGATTTTTTTTTTACTGTTCCTGTAAGGTTTTCTCATTAGTAAAAACGCTCATAACTCTTTTCAGCCATTGCAGTTTTACATTTATCTTAATATTCCTGTTCAAGATGCTTTGGAGAACTATTAAGAACTACAAAATCACCTTAGCCAAGAGTTTCAAATGAGTAACTTTATTTCATATTGGCTAAGATCTCCCTTATGTTGGCACTGCAAAGACACTATGCACTTATCTGAGGTTAAAAAAAAAAAATGTTGTTTTTATAGCCCTCTTACTGTGTAACAAGGCAAATTACCATTTCCTGAAATGTCCAAAATATCATAGTAGTTATTTGTTGAGCAGTAAGTCATGAAACCCCATTTATAGAAGACAGTAGCAATGGATGATCACTAAATCCTACATATACCAAATAAAAACAAGTTTACAAATATTCCCATTTTCTGTCTTCTCTACTTCTAAAATGGTTTAACCACATCAAATGAGAGTAACATCGGCCAATAAGAAACGGAAAAAGTAAACTGTGCTAGTGTCTGGCATTCAGCTTCCATAGCATGTCTCACAGTTTTGGGCCATTTCAGCTAAGAGTGTTCTTATGACAAAAATAATGATTAAAATAGCACTGGCTTTGCTGAAAAATGTGAAAATAAATCACAAAGTCAAAAATATTTGAAACTGATTTTGTTTTTATAAATAAATAAAAGTGTTTATCTTTTCTTAAAATTCTTGCTGTTAAAACATTCAAAGTTATGTCAACCTGTAAGGATAAAGGAGTATTTGAGATAACAAGTTTGGAAAACTGAACCACAATTTTAATTGCCAGCATTATGCTTTGTTCTTGGTAGAATCATCCCTGTTTCTTCTTTTTACATCCCAATTATATACCCTGGCCATATTGACTTCTGTGGTAGTAAATTGATCCTGAAGAAAGTCAAGGTCTTCCTCAAGGGAATCCAGATTTTTTGTGGCAGTTGATCAATTCTTTTCCAACAATGCCTGAGCTTCATCAATATCGTATTCAAGCATTACATTAGCCCCCAACCACAGACACACTTTATCCTTGGGAGGAACGGAAGCTTTGCAGTGCAGGTTATCTGCCAGTAAGAATCTGGTCTCCGGTGAGCTGGTGGACTCTTTTTTCTTCTGCATGTGTCTTAGAATTTCCAAGGTCTGTCTAATTTCAGGCATCCGACCTTTTAGCCTTCTTTTCTTCTGAGCGAGGTTGAGGTCCATAAACTTACACTTCCGGTACTGTTCATCCAGCTTCTTTAGTACCGTATCTGCAGTCTCATTCCCAGGCTGTTTCATGAAGGAATCTACGTCTTCCACAACCAGGGCCTCAGGAATCCCCAGGCGGAGCCGCCGCCCGCCCCTGTGGCCCTGTCTCCTTCGCCACAACCGTCCTTAGCGGCCGCCATCTTGCGGATGCGAGCGCGTGGCTGCCTCTCGTTTGATCTTCAGAACCAAAGGGCCAGGCGCGTATCCCAGCACTTTGGGAGGTCGAGGCGGGCGGATCACGAGGTCAAGAAATCGAGACCATCCTGGCCGTGGTGAAAGCCCGTCTCTACTAAAAATGCAAAAATTGGCTGGGCGAGGCGGCGTGCGCCTGTCGTCCCAGCTACTCGGGAGGCTGAGGCGAGGAATCGCTCGAACCCGGGAGGTGGAGGTTGCGGTGAGCCGAGATGGCACCGCTGCACTCCAGCCTGGCCGCAGAGCGAGACTCCGCCTCAAGGAAAAAGAAGAAAGAAAGTAGCAAACTCTGATTGTTTAAATGGCTAAGGACATAGGGCATGAAGTGAAATTTGATCATGATTTCATGAACATCTATCTCTAAAATCCTGTCGCCTTACTCTTATTTTTAACAGCTTTATTGAGATACAGTTCACGTAGCATATAATTCACTTGTTTAAAGTATATGATTTATTGGCTAAGTATATTCAGAGGTGTGCAGCCATCACCACAATCCATTTTAGGATATTTTCATTATCCCGCAAAAACCCTGTGCCTGTTAGCAGTCACTCCCCGTCTACCCCATCCTTGGCGCCCCGTGAAATCACGAATCCACTTTCCTTCTTTATAGATTTGCCTGTTTTGGACATTTTGTATAAATGGAATCATGTAACACGTGGTCTTGTGTGACTGGCATCTTTCACTTAGTGCTGTTTTCAAGGGTCATCCATGTTCTAGCATGTATGAGAACTTCATTTATTTATTGACAAATAATATTCAACTGTATGAATATATTACATTTACCCATTGTCACTTGATATAGGCATTTGTGTGGATATACAGGCTTTTTCTTTTTTGTTTGAATTACTCTCGATTTTAAATTTATTTTATTTTCAAGTATTACGGTTTTTTTTTTTTTTTTTTTGGAGACAGAGACTTACTCTGTTGCCCAGGCTGGAGTGCAGTGGCACGATCTCAACTCACTGCAGCCTCTGCCTCCTGGGTTCAGGTGATTCTCGTGCCTCAGCCTCCTGAGTAGCTGGGATTACAGAGGTGTGCCACCACCTCTGGCTAAATTTTGTATTGTTAGTAGAGATGAGGTTTCACAATGTCACCCAAGCTAGTCTCGTACCCCTGACCTCAGGTGATCCACCTGCCTTGGCCTCTCAAAGTGCTGGGATTACAACATGAGCCACCATGCCCAGCCACAAGTATTATGCTTCAAATGTATGTTTATGCAGTTTTACTGGTTTCCAGTCATTTCACCACATATATATATAAAACAAAACAAAACAAAAAATGTATGTAGAAGAAAGAATACCCACAGAAAGGGGAGTTGTGAACAGAGGATTCATCCTTACAATTACCTTGTGATGTATGACACTATCAGATATATTCCGTTTTTCCTAAACCTGGAAATAAGAGATCAGGGCATCAAATGTCTGCCTTAGTTTTACAAAATAAATTATCAAGAAAATTGAAAAAAGTAACAATTTTCTGAACTAGCTCTTTTTGCAGAAAAATTTAAAAAAGGTTTCTATATGCTTGCCCTAGAAATGCTGAAGACATGTAATACATATTTTATGAATACTGAAATATTACCCCGAAATCATTTGAACAATTTTTATTATAATTACCTAAATTTAATTTTTTTTTCATTTTTATTTCCAAAAATTTATTATTTTTAAAGAGACAGGGTCTAGGTCTGTCACCCAGGTTGGAGTGCAGTGGCATGAGCGTAGCTCATTGCAATCTTGAATGCCTGGGCTCAAGTAATCCTCCTGCCTCAGCCTCCCAAGTGGCTGGGATTACAGGCATAATATTTGAGGGAAAAATAACACAAACCCTCATGTAAAAGTGAGCAGAAGACATGAAAAGATACTTCACAAAGGCCCTAAAAGTAGCCTTTATCTTTGGATAAATATTATACAAATTAATACTACCCGAGGATACTTTTCTATTTATTAAATTGCCAACAATTAAGTATTGGCAGTACATTCTGTTGGTGAGGCGAGCCTGTGGAAAATGAGCACTTTCATACATTGTTAGAATACAGATTAGTATAATTCTTTTGGAAGAAAATTTGGCAATAGATAACAAAACTATGTATTTACCTTTGATTAAACAATTCCACTTCTAGGAATTCTCTTTTATTTGTCTCCAACAATATAAAAATACATATGTACTTGACAATTTAGCAAGCATTATTTGTAATTATAAAATATTAGAAACAGTATAAATGCCTCTAAGTAGAAGGGTAGTTTTTAAATAAATATATAGCAATATATAGATAATGATAAATGTATAACAAACTTATTTATAAATACAATTTATTTTTTAAATAATAGAGAACTGTAGCTATTAAAAAGAAAAGGGGGGTGCTGGGCACAGCAGCTCACACCTATAATCTTAGAACTTTGGGAGGCTGAGGTGGGAGGGTTGCTTCAGGCCATGAGTTTGAGTTCAGCCTGGGCCTAATATAGTGAGACTGTCTCTGCAAAATATAAAATAAATTAGCTGAGCATGATGGCACACACCTGTGGTCTCAGCTACTCAGGAGGCTGAGGTGGGAGGATCACTTGAGCCCAGGCTTTGAGGCTTCAGTGAGCCATGATTCCACCACTAGACTCCAACCTCCAGCTTAGGGAACAAAGTAAGACCCTTTCTCAAAAAAAAAAAAAAAAAAAAAAAAAAAAGAGAGAGAGAGAAGGGAGGATATCTTCAAACAGATATGAAACAAATTTTAGGAAATATTGTCAAGTAAATAAAGAAGCACCATGATAAAGAGTATAGTTCATGATATTTGCAGTTTCCTACTTTTTGCGTATAAAAGAAGGGAAAATTTAAAATACATGTATCTGTGTAGGAAGAAAACAGGAAGGAACAGCTGAATATGAATGAGATTAATTATGAGGATGGGTAGGCGTTAGGTAGGAAATAAGAGAGGATGGGAACAGTGTGAAAGCAATTGAGGGGTGGGGACAGTGACAGTTCTCTGCATATATCTTGTATAGTTTGGCTTTTATAACCATGTATGTTTTACTTGCTGAAAAGAAAAATAAAATCAACAAAAATGGGGAAAAATAACATGGAAGAAAACAAATTAATCCAGCTATATTTCACGTGAATAGCACTGAAGTGAGAAAGGAACTAATCCTAGTAACTCTCAGACATATTTTTAGGACTTCAGTCCCCAGACTAATGGCAAAAAGAACTGGAACCAAGCACTGAACTCCAGTACTAGTTTTATTTTTTGCAGTATTACTAGTTAGAAATTCTGAAACTACTTAATGTGTTTGTAAGGCAAGGCAGGTAAGTAAATATATTGTAGATAATGAAAACCAGATTTTTTACTTTCACATAAGGGAAATTACAAATATGGAAGGAGGAAGATGTTTAATGTTGGATTATATTTGGAGTGTTGAATTATATTTGGAGCTTTCTGAATGAATCAGTGATTTTGTTTTTTAAGAGATAGAGTCTCACTCTGTCATCGAGGTGGAGTGCAGGGCTGTGATCATAATTCACTGCAGTTGTGACCTCCTTGGCTCATGTGATCCTTCCACCTCAGCCCGAGTAGCTAGAGCAGGCGTCCCCAAACTTTTTACACAGGGGACCAGTTCACTGTCCCTCAGACAGTTGGAGGGCCGCCACATACTGTGCTCCTTTCACTGACCACCAATGAAAGAGGTGCCCCTTCCTGAAGTGCGGTGGGGGGCCGGATAAATGGCCTCAGGGGGTCGCGTGCGGCCCACGGGCCGCAGTTTGGGGACGCCTGAGCTAGAGGAATATGCCACCATGCCTGCTTAATTTTTAAATTTTTGTAGAGATAAGTTTCTCTATATTGCTCAGTCTGATCTTGAACTCCTTGCCTAAAGTGATCCTCCTGCCTCAGCCTCCCAAAGTTCTGAAATTACAAGCAAATTAATGATTTTTATTCATAAATATAATATATGCTTATGTACTCAGGGGTACGTATGTGCATGCATATGTATAAATGCACACATTTTCTAGCTTAGAAACAATGACACACTAATAGCAATGTATACATTTAGTGCCCAAATCTTGCTCCCCAAACTCCATTTTTTATTTTAGGGAGTCGACACTTTGGAACAAATATCCAATGAGCCTGGGCTAGGGAAGAACAAGATATACCTGGGACATCTTGCTGTGCCAGAAAGTAAGGGAATGCGCAAAGGTTAATAGAAATATTAACTGATGTAGGGTGCAGGTATCTTATTCTAAATCTAAAAGTATTTTGGAGAAAAGGGAGCTCTCATACAGTGGGAAAGTAGATTAGTACAACTGCTGTGGAGAACGGTATGTAGGTTTCTCAAAAACTAAAAATAAAGCCTACCTTTTGATTCCGCAGTCCAGCTACTGAGTATCTATTCAAAAGAAAAGAAAAAGTATATCGAAGAGATAGCTGCACTCCCATGTTGATTGCAACATCTTTCATGATAGCCAAGATGTAGAACTAAGTTCTGTCAGCAAATGAATGGATCAACAAAATGAACCATGTATATACCCAATGGAATATAACTCAGAGAAAACAATGAAATCCTGTCATTTGGAACAACATGGATGGAACTGGAGGCCATGTGCTAAGTGTAATAAGCCAGGCACAGAAAGACAAATATTGCAACTCATATTTGGGAACCAAAAAAAACCCAAGTTGAACTCATGAAGATAGAGAGTAGAAGTAGGGTTACCAAAGGCTGAAAAGTGGAGAGCCAGATAAAGAGGGACTGTTAGTGGATACAAAATACAGTTAGGAGGAATAAGATCTCGTGTTCAGTAGCACAACAGGGTAACTATAGTTAAAAATAATTTGTTGTATACTTCAAAATAACTTAGAGAGTGGAGTTGGAATGTTCCCAACACAAATGATAAATGTTTCAGGTAATGAGTGTCTTAGTTTCCTTGATTTGATCATTGCACATAGTGTGCCTCTATCAAACTATCCTGTGTACCCCATAAATATATACAATTATTATATATATGTAATTAAAAATTTTTTAAATAAGATTTTACTCTGAAAAAAAAATCTAAAGATAATTTGAATTTGGACACACTTCTGGGCCCTTGAGTTTTAGAAAAATGATTGTAAATCGTCTATTTGTTCCTCATTGTCTGAATGCTTGGGGCATGAAGTCATGTTCTTCCCTTTCTGACTTGTGTCTTCTGCACATCGCAGTGTTCCTGTGTACACATCCACATCCACGCATGGTGGAGGGTGGAGGTCAGGAGTAGTAGGCGTAGCCTGACCCCCTAGCCTCAAGGTTAAGGTGAGCCAAGCAGCTAGGGTGATTCCCCAACTCTCCGCTATCATTTTCAGGACCTTTCTTCTGATTGTAAGAACTTGTGAGTATTGTACATCGCTGTAAGGTAAATAAAATAATAATTCTTATGTTTATTTTCAATAATAGGTCACCAGGAAAGTACATCACCACGGCCACCTCATGATTCATCTCTTTCTGCTCCCCTGCCCAAACTGTGTGTTTTTGTTACTCCATCTCTTCTTTCAGCAATGTGCAGCCTCTTGGACAACCTCTTGATGATTGCTCCCAGAGACACTGCCAAGGCTGTTCGACAAGCTCATCTCATCGAACTTCTCTGTAGGTAAGAGATAAATGCTCCTAGGGAGGCATGCTAGTAGAGATAAATTTATATAAGCTATATTCGTGACACGATACAAGATTTCATTTGACCTGGGAATACAGCTTTATTTCTTTTTTAGCCTCATTCAACTCTAGGATTTTGCTTTTGCCAGAATTGTCTGGATGGTTTTTATTTTACATCTATTAAAGCACTTGTATTGGTTTGTTATCTTGACTAAGGCCAAAGAAAAACTCCTGCCTTCTGAAATTCGTGGCTTCTAAACATTATTTATCCTCCAGCACACTTAAGGAATATGGTGCTATCCCCTATTCTTAAGGATGTGAGGGAGTTTTGGAATTCATCTTTTTAGAGTTCATATCAGAATAATGTCCCCGGGTTGAAAATTTATTGGTTAAATTCTTTTGGAGTTATTTTGTTATGGGAAATTAAACTTTTTGTCAGAAAGTATTCTGATAAAATTTAGGGAAATTAAATTCAAAGAAAAATTCTTTGAATTTTTATTACTTATCTGATATTAATCAGTCTGTGACATAGTTTTTCTGAATTTCTAATAAAGCAGAGTCGAAAAGGACTAGAAATTCAGGCAACCTAAGGTCTAATTATAGTTCATTCACTCAGTAGCTTGCAGCCTTGGGAAATTACTTTAATCCCTACTGTGTCATTAACATCTATTTAATGGGGTTAGTGTGAGAATTAAAAGTGATGGTATCTAGGATACCCCCTTATCTATTAGTAAGTATGACTTCTCTTTTTTTCTGGTGTCCAGTTTATTGTAGCCAACCATACCTGCCTCCTTTGACCACATGTTCATTTGCATTTCTTTGCCTCTCTGTCTCTTTACCTTTAAACTTTCACTATCTGGAATGTCTTCCGTCTCTGCCAAATCTTAGTGCATTCTCCTTTTGGGATATTAAGGAAACTCTAAAAAATATGAACTCTGGAAGTAGCTGGTTTCACCTTATTCAATTGTAATTATTCCTTTACCATGTATAATATGCAATGGCATATGAGTGTGTTCTGGCTTTAATATGTATTGCTCATTTTTCTACTGTGCCTACTTGGATTGGAAAAGTAACTGCTAGTCAGTCGGCTTTCCTTCCTGGATGCTCCTCCTGTCTGAAGATAACCAAAATGGAGCTCTAGGGATAGGATATTCTTTGCTTCTTAGGAGTCAGCTAAGAGTTTGATGTTGGCATTAAAAGATCTTTTATGGCAAAGGCTTATCATATTTCCATACCTGTTTTTCATTTTTGACTTAAAAAAATTCCTGCTTGTTTTACTTTATTTTGTTTTTTACTTTCTAAATATGAATGGTGTTTTTGCTATTTTAACCAGTGTTTTTGTTATTTTATTAGGAAAGTAACCACCAGGGTTCCTTTTACTCATTTGTTTTCTTCCTGAATGGGCGGCTGTATTTTATTTTATTCTGCTTTTAATTTGGTTTCCTTAGATATTTTCTTCAGAACTCTTTGCTTCTCACCTTTCTCTGACAAGATATTTTTCCTGTTTGAAGGTAATCCAGAATACAATTTAAAATTCTTTGGGATATCTTTTTATAAACATTTTCTTCGCTTACAAAGATCCTTCCTCTTGAATTGTATTCGAGTTACCTTTAAATTTCAAATTCCAAGTTATTAACCTTTAATAGAAAGTATACTAATTTTCTGAAGGATGTTCTTTTTCTGATCTTCACAGCATTGCAGATGCTACCCTCATACAGATATGTGTCCAGGAACTCAGGACCCTGCTGCCTTCATCACCTCCAGCTGAACATACTCAGGCTCAGGTAAGCATCTCAAGTCTGTCTTGCCTCATGTCTGTTTGTGAGTTTGTTTACGTTAGGTGTCAAAAATATAAATCTTGCTGAGGAGATACTAGCCGTAGGAAAAGGATGAAAACCTCTCAACATATACATGGTATAATGAGGTTATTTGAAATATGTTACTTAAAATTTTAATATGAGACATGTTTGGATGTTAGAAAAGAGAAGTGGGGTTTGAAGACCTAGATTCTATTCTTGACTCCATCATTAACCAACTTTAAATGTATAATCAAGTGTCTGGATATCTTGGAGCACCACTTTAATAAAGAGGGACGGTTGGACATTGGTATAGTTCATCTTCTGCTTCTTGATTTTAGGCTATCTCTGCTATGTCTGTTATTTACACCAGAGTTAAAGTTGTTAAGATATTTGGTGACTAAGTTATGTATTTTCAAAACCCAATTTGATAAAAATAATTTATTCTTGTTTCTTCACAGATATTTATTATTTTAAATTCTTGTCTAGAATTTAGCTAGAATCTGTATATAAAACATGCTTAACAATTATTCATGTAGCTGTTGCTAACAGAAATTTTATTTCAAAATTAGATTTTAAGAAGGACTGTAAGACTTTTTGGGAGGTCATCAATTAAAGGTGAACTAGACCAGTATCTCTCGCTTTGAGATGTGTTCTTGAGCTGAGTAAGACAGGGAATAAGAGCTGAATCAGTTGAAAAGTTTGGGAACGCTACACACATGGTCTTTGAAGCACTTGTCCTGGTGCAGTGTTTTCACTTGAGCGAGCCTATTGCATAATGACTGTCTCCTCCATTTTCCTGCTCTCCATCCAAAAAGTCTCCATTGAGTACCTACTGTGTGCCTGGATCTTCTCCAAGTGAATAAAGCAAAGACCCTCCCTCAAGTCGGGGGAATAGATAATGAGAAAATATATATGCTTGATGATGATAGACATCTCAGAAGAAAAACTAAAGCAAGGAACAGGAAGTGATGTCAGAGTTGGAAGGGTAGGGCTGTTCCACTTTGGATGAGTAGGTGCTGACGCGGGACCCGACGTTAGTGAAGAAGCTAGTCCCAGGGTCATTGTAAGACCCCCGGGGTTGAGGTATGCTTGGCCTATCCGAGAAACGGCAAGGATGGCGGAGTGGCTGCACCGGAATCTGTGAGGGCAACGTGAGGTCAGAGGGACACGCTCAGCTCCATGAAGTCAGGACCTGGCTGGCTGTTATGGGCTGTTGTGTTCTGAGGGTCCAGCACAGGGCTCGCCTCATCACATGTGCTCACATGATGCTTGTGCAGTGGACGAACAGCAGCAGTAGCAAACATGTATGGGTACTTGTTTTTGTTGATTTTTGTAATCTTCACAACAAGCAACAATCATGAAGTATTGTTAATGTCATTTTATCAAGGAAATGCCTGAGGCCCAGAGAGGTGAGTGACTTGCCCCAGGTCTCTGACATAGATTCCAACATGTGCAGGCCACTTCCGGGGCCCACATTCTGAACCACTGCGCTAGCTGGCCTTATGTAGCTTCAGTGCTTCGGGGCTACTGGTATGTATGTAAGATCATTCGCTCATTCCAGAAAATTCTTGAGCCTCTGCTTTACCAGATTCTGTTCTAGGTGCTAGTGATAGATACATCCTTGAACAAAACAGACAAGCGTCTCTGCTCACATAGATTCTGTGTCCTAAATGCAGGAGACAGACAGTAAACAAATAAAGTGTATTTAATCAGGTAGTCACAAATGACAGGGACAGAAGTCAGTGGGAGTGGGTAAAAGGGTGTGTCAGCAAGGGGAGAGGTGGCTATTTTTAGGTAGGGTGGAAAGGAAAAGGCCTTCTGTGGGTGACACTTAAGCAGAGACTGTGAGTGCCTGCAGCAGCCGGGGAGGGCAGGGCACTGGTGGTGCGGTGATACTCTGCTAAAGGTGTGATGCATTAAAATCTGTGGTCGGTAGGTTGGTATGTTTTTTTGAAGCAGACCATGCATAGAAAAAGAGTTACTTTATCAACTACTATTAATATATTAATACTTTATTTAACCTTGAATGTGATCATATACAAAGTAATCTTGAGCAATTCAGCTTTTTCTCTGTAACACTTCTTGCCTCTCACCTGGCATGGTTTATCTATTTATGGTAATATTTTATACATCCAAAGGTCAGACTTGCTATAATTCCAGTAGTGTAGAATAGGAATATAATATGAAATCTCAAAAAAGACTTCACAGCAATAAACAAATTAAATATTACCGACTGAAGAGTTTGTGAAGGCTAGAGCCACCTATGCTTTTATATAAAGTAAGTTTGTAGGTTAGATAAAGAGAGGACATATTCATCAGGAGAAGTAGACAGAACTATTTTTAAATAATCTGAGACCATTGATCTCAGAGACACATTCTCCACAAATTTACAACAGGTCTTCTACTCCTAATTACATTTTACAACCTCAGAATAAGGTGAGGAAAAGAAGTGTGTGTGTATGTGTACAGAGAGAGAGAATGACTGGTTTGAGAATATCTTACAAAATTCTCTTATATGTACTGGCTCATTGCTTGAGCATAGAGGACAAATGAGACATCACACAGCTCATTCTTTAATTGTTGCATATTCAGAGGATTATTTTTCTGAAAAGTACTTTTTTCCAGTTAATACTTAACAATATTAGCATCAGGCAAATTCCAGAGATGCTTTTGTTGGTAATATCGAAGAAGCTTTAATTTTTTTCTCTTATAATTAATAATAGTATTTTTATGCTGTGGGCAAAAGTAGAATATATTTGCATTTTATTTGTAGTAATAAGTAGGCTACTAGGCCATTCTCCCCCTCTACCCTGCCCCCAATTATACACTCTGAAGAGTATTTTTGTAGTCTTTCTTTCTTTACAAAATTGTAGACTTTATGGCTTTGTTATACACTTTTCTACTTCTTCCAGAATACTGATTTTTATAATTTGACTACTTGAAAAATATGGAGACTGTTTTTTTTCTTTTGAAACAGGGTCTTGCTGTGTCACCCAGGCTGGAGTTCAGTGGTGTGATCACAGCTCATTACAGCCTCCATCACCTGGGCTCAAGTGGTCCTCCCATCTTGGCCTCCTAAGTAGCTGGGACTACAGGTGTGCACCACCACACCCAGCTAATTTTTGTATTTTTTTGTAGAGACAAGATCTCTCTGTGTTGCCCAGGCTGGTCTCAAACTCCTGGGCTCAAGCCATCTGCCCACCATGGCCTCTCAAAGGACTGGCATTACAGTACTGGTGTGTTAGCCACCACACTTGGCCAAGACTTTTCTTCTTTAAATGGAATTCAAAACTTGACGTTGAAACTATTGCTTGGTTTGGTGTGTAGTTGACAGTGTTAATATGACTGGATGACATGCTTATGAGAAAAGTAATGCTTTGTCTGTTATGTGATAATTTCAGATCTTTAAAAATTATGATTAATATTTTATTAGTTTTTTATTAACTTGTATTACAAAAGTAAAATGCTGTATCACTGAGATGGACTTTTTATATGGCATGTTTGATTGTACCCTGTCCTCCTTTTCAAACAGGTTTCCTTTCTCCTGGAATACCTATCCTCTTTGTCCAGGCTTCTGCAGTCATGTTTGTTGGTAGAGCCTGACCTTGTGATTCAGGAAAAGCTTATGAAACCTCTTATCACTAATATCATTGGAATTCTCACCATATGCACCAAAGATGTATTAGGTAAGTTTAATTTTTTTAGTTTAGAATGTACATAAATAATACTGAGAAAAAAAAAAAAACTTAGTCTGTTCCAGATATTCACTTGAAGGTTACTTTTTGCGTTGCTTTTTGCTAGTAGTCTGGAAGGCTTTGATAGTGTGTTTTACAGTTTTGATGCCTTTTAATGGTATCACTTGAGACAAGTGTGTAGTATAATAAAGGACCATCCCTGAGTTTTCAGTTTAAATGAGGGCAAAGCTCTCTGTGTGATGTTAGAAAGTACAGGGAGTTCTGGGTATTAATTATTCTTATAAACTGTGGCTAAGGCCAAAAACCTAATAAATCATTCTCAATAACAAGTATAAGCCAATATAGAACATGACAAAAAGTTCCTAAGGTCCTAAATTATTGAAATATATATATATATATGTATGTATATATATAGATATATGGATAGAAAGATAGATAGATAGATAGATAGATAGATAGATAGATAGATAGTGATCTAATGTTATCTCCAGAGGAAAAATTTTATGATGAAAAGTTGAATGTAATGCTTAATAGAGAAAATTAAAGCAATGTATGATCTTTGTCAAAATCTAGTATAATTGTTTTAAAAGTGGAAATAATCATTTATAATGAAGTAATTGACCATTTGGTAATTCTCCTTGCCTTTCAGTTTATTTTTATTTGAACTTTGGATTTACTTGATTTTAGGTCTGGAAAATGAAGTGTGTTATGATACCCATTAAAGCCAGTTCTCGGCATCTCATCGGTGTTAAAATGATCTCGATGCTGAAAGAATAGTAATTCCTTTCTTAGAAATTCAACAAGAGGCAGTGATGCCCTAACTAAGCTTATTAGGTTAGACTGGACAAGGTCAACAAGGCGATATCTCCCCTATTCCCTAAGGAGTGAAAATTGATTCTGGGGAGAAGAGGGTGAGGCAAAAACATTGAAAAAACCATAGCTCAGCTCTACCTGAGACAATCTTATTACTTAATATTTCTCTTCTTGATTTTTCTTGAAAATTCCTTGAGAAGCATTGATGTTGAGTTCATGGAAAATATACAAGATGTGTGCATGCTGAGTGCTACAAAACTGTCGCGAATAGATGATGGCAGTTGGAGGACTTTTGGTTGATTATTTGATCCCAAGGTCATATAGCAAAAGGTGGTCTCTGCATCTTGGCTGCTACTGGCTGTCTTGTGAATGCCTTTTATTGACCCTCTTGCTTTTCTGTATGATTTTGGGTTTTGAAAATCAAATGAAAGTAGTATGTATTTTATTTAATTGCATAAAAGTTGTTTAACTCATTAATTATATCAAGTGCTGAAAGGAAAAAATGTCAACAATATCTGAATGTACATCTATCAGCTGGTTAAATTAAAAATTGTTTTCTCATATCTAGCAAAAGATTTTAAAAATTCACTAAAAGTATTTTTTAAGAAATTGTTTTAAAATTTTTTTCTGGGAAAATAAGTTTTAAATGATTTTATAAGAATTTATTATGTTGCTATTATGTGTTTATATGGATTGCTAATTTATGTATATAAATTGATACATTGTGCTATATATAAGTAAATAAATTATGTGAAAAGCTATTCAGCAAGTTTAGTTGCAAAGTTAAATTTCGTGTTCATAGGTCTTTAATTTTTAATTTAACTTTCAGCTTAAATGTTTTATTCGGCTGTTCTTAAGCCTGTAATGAATAAAAACAGTAAGCTGTATACTTACTCTTTTTATGTTCAAAGTACATATACACATATAGTACGTAAAGAGATATACAGTATATCTGTGGAATTAAAATTTTGTGGGGATGGCAATAAGGAAACATATTTCTAAAATAAACTCTTTAGGGAGCCACCAATGGCAAAAGAGGTGAGAGCTACCAAGGACTGCTAAATCTAATCCCCTAGGAAGATGCAATTTTCAAGTACCTCATAGGTGCTGAAGTACACCTAGATGGATGTCCTTGGAGTTAGTGTCCTATACATTATAGTGGAATTTGATAAAAGATGACAAATCCTGCTGATGACATGGTCAGAGAGAGTTCTCAGCTACTGCTCTCCAGCTTCCATTTACCTGAGTGTAGAGATGGGAAAAGGTGTCCTCACCCTAGAAGGTTAATTGCTACATCCTTAGCCACAGACAGAGCTGCAGAATCTTCTTTGGTATCATAGTTTTCTTTGTGGGATGATAACTTTTCTTGGTTCTTCTTGGTTCTTCAAAGAAATTCTTTCTTTTCTACCTTGACCTTGGCACATTGTGCTTTCCTTTCACCCCTGCACAAAGCTGCTGGAGGAGATAAAGGAAATAGAGGAAAACTTACTCTGACAAAAGTAACACAAACCATGGCATGTTTTTATAATGTGCCAATATGTAGTTCTGCAGTCATGGCTTACTATTCAGTTTGTCATATCTTCTGATGGTTCTTGAGTATGCTTTAATAAGAGGAGAGTTTGGGAGTGTGTCTTTGTATGCAGGAGGGTGGAGGGGAGATCTCTTAAGAAGCAATGGAAAAGAGAAGTTGACTGAAATAAATTTTGCTTAATGCTGAATTAGATTTGTCTTCATTGGTAAGTGCAAACCCCTCATTTTAAGTGTAATGAAGTGTCTGTGTACGTTTTATATCTTGAAAGGTTCTTTTCCTTCTTTGTGTTAATAACTTGAAGTGTTTTGATTAATTTTATAGATACAGAGTTAATATCAGCTTTTTATCTCACATGGACACATTTATTTAATCTTCTGGCCACGCTCCTGAGGAAGACTGGTGCCATCACACTCCCATCTATTACTGTGGCCCTGGCCAAGCACTGGACAGCAATGATTGGTAAGATGATAATCGCATAATCTTGGGGGCTTTGTGCTAATAGAAAGAGATAATTATTCTGCCTGCTTAGGTATGTGAATTCATTAAAATTAAGTAATGATGGTGTAGCATATAAAAGCGATATTAGGGTGCTTGCTTTGAAAAATTTGCTGTGATCTTGAGGAGACCCCCGCAAATGTATTTTTGCAAAATTGAAACACATTTTAAGATAACATAAAGGTGAGTTAGAAAAACTTGTGGTTTTATTTTATTTTTATTTTTTAAGATTTTTAAAGATTTCATTCATGAAGCTCTTTTTTATTGAGAACATTATATTGGCCACCCTGCTTTATTTTCATTTTACTTTAAGTTCTGGGACACGTACAGAATGTGCAGCTTTGTTCCATAGGTATACATGTGCCATGATGGTACCCATCAGCCTATCATCTAGGTTTTAAGCCCTGCATGCATTAGGTATTTATCCTAATGCTCTCCCTCTCCTTCCCTCTCAGTCCCTGACAGGCCCCAGTGTGTGATGTTCCCCTCCCTGTGTCCATGTGTTCTCATTGTTTAATTTTCATTGGTGAGTGAGAACATGTGGTGTTTGGTTTTTTGTTCCCATTTTAGTCTGCTGAGAATGATGGCTTCCAGCTTCATCCATATCCCTACAAAGGACATGAACTCATGCTTCTTTATGGCTACATAGTATTTCATGGTGTACATATGCCACATTTTCTTTATCTAGTCTATCGTTGATGGGCATTTGGGTTGGTTCCAAGTCTTTGCTATTGTGAATAGTGCTGCAGTAAACATACATGTGCATGTATCTTTATAGTAGAATGATTTATAATCCTTTGGGTATATACCCATTAATGGGATTTCTGGGTCAAATGGTATGTCTGATTCTAGAGCTTGAGGAATTCCCACACTGTCTTCCACAATGATTAAACTAATTGACACTCCCACCAACAGTATAAAAGCATTCCCATTTTCTCCACAGCCTTGACAGCATCTGTTGTCCTGACTTCTTAATAATCACCATGCTAACTGGTGTGAGATGTTATCTCATTATGGTTTTGAGTTGTATTTCTATAATGACCAGTGATGATGAGCTTTTTTTCATGTTTGTTGTCCACATAAGTGTCTTATTTTGAGAAGTGTCTGTTCATATCCTTTCTCCACTTTTTGGTGGAGTTGTTTTTTTCTTGTAAATTTGTTTAAGTTGCTTGTAGGTTCTGGATATTATGGGTAGATTGCAAAAATTTTCTCCCATTCTGTAGGTTGCTTGTTCACTCTGATGATAGTTTCTTTTGCTGTGCAGAAGCTCTTTAATTTAATTAGGTCCCATTTGTCAGTTTTAAGTCTGTGGTTTCATAAAGGTACATATGATATGATCATAAAGCAATGAGATAAATTTTCTTGTGTTGATATAGAAGCTAGTATCGTTTCTGACATATGTGCATTGTATGTGGATAAATCTACATATATAGTTCTGTATACATGATAACATGGAAAGTTATGATAAAAATATTATCTTGTCTCATGACATCAGAATTTTCTTATAGTACCAAAATACCAAGAGTATAGTGTAATTATTTTTATAAAATGTTTTTTGTATGATAGCCACTAAAAGAAACATGATTATTTAAAAATAACTAATCTTTAATTTTTCATAAAGCTTCCCAAATTTTACCATAGCAAAAGCTGTTTTTTGACATAAATATTCACAACTAATATTTATATAACCTTTTAAAATAATCTGCTTATATTTATTCAAAACTGAGTTATCTTGTTTCCAAAGTACCTGCTAATTCAGCTGACTCATTTGATCATTCCATAAACTTAAATGCATGATACAATTTTTAACTAAAGCAATAGTAAGAGTTATGGCAAATGTATGTTTAACAAGGAACAGAATTGTTAGTTTTCTGGATATAGGAGTTCTTAGTCTACCGTGGAGGGAGTACAGTGTGTACTCAGGATATCATTATTTTGTTAAAAAGATAATAATTGAAAGAGATTGACTGATTGAGACATTGGAATCTTCTTCTTGCATGCATTGGGGGAAAATTAGTTTGCTACCTGAATCACCAATAATATCACTAGAAAGCATGATGCTACCCACATTAGATAAATCTGTCCTGCAGTGTTTTGGTAAATAACGTTTTATTGGAACACAGCCACAGTTATTTACATATTGCACATGGCTGCTTTCATGCTACAACAATTGAGGTAACTAGTTGTGACAAAGGCAGTTACCTGCAGAGTATAAAATACTTATTATTTGGCCCTTTACAGAAAAAGTTTGCTGACCTCAGACTTAAACTTATTTACCTGACACTATTTCCCTAGTGATAAAATAAATACGTATTAAATTCAAAACCTGCCTTCAAAATATCTGTACAATTTTATGTAATAATAGTGCTAATCAAAAGTAACACTGCATAAACGGTTTTGATAATAGTAATGTTAATGAAAACATTAATAACAATTATCATTGATTTTTTTTTTGCCATCTTTTTTTTTTCTTAAATCAGTTTCCATCTCATATGCTCATGTACATTTAAAACATCTCATGGTCACTCCATAATTTGTGTTATCTATAACAATCTTTTCTCAAACTTGACTAATATTTGGACATCCTTTAAATGAATGTAATTCTCATGAAATCCTACTGCTGACTACTTTATTTTTCTTATGTAACTTTAATTTGTACAAGCCAAAATCTAAGTAAAAATTTTTATGGTCATAATTCTCACATAAGCATAAATCTAAAATATAAAATCAAAGAAAATTATAAATACAAATTTTCAAGTTAGTAAAATGTAATACAACATGTTATTTTGATTAAACAAAATCATTGCTCATAACCGGAAAGTAATGACTGTTTCAGTGTAAATTCCTTTGGGTTTGGACTGTTCTTTCCACTCTGTGTTAAGTTTGTGAATCAGTTCATGACCACTTATATACTGCCTGAACTGCTATGAAATATTTGTTTGTAAATTGTGCCAAGACTGCATACTAAGTCTTGCTTTTTTGTTTGTTTGTTTTTGAGACAGAGTTTTGCTCTTATTGCCCAGGCTAGAGTGCAGTGGCACAATCTTGGCTCACTGCAACCTCTGCCTCCCAGGTTCAGGGGATTCTTCTGCTTCAGCCTCCCAAGTAGCTGGAATCACAGGCATGCGCCACCACACCTGGCTTATATTGTATTATTAGTAGAGATGGAGTTTCTTCACGTTGGTCAAGCTGGTCTCGAACTCCTGACCTCAGGTGATCCACCCACCTTGGCCTCCCAGAGTGCTGGGATTATAGGCTTGAGCCACCACACCCAGCCCAAGTCTTGCTTTTAAGTACTATTTGGCACCAGCTTGTTTGAAAATCATGACACAGTCACACAAGTTGGTAATCTAAATGATCCAGAGTATAGTTACTTTAAAATCAATTTGATTTGCTTCTTTAATTTTGAAGAAATTTTCACACAGTCACATCTGAAATTATTCTTTTAGATATGTTCTGCAAATGTGTGAGCTTGTCCGCCACGTGTCCTGCCCTGTATACTGCCAGCTTGCAATTCCTTTCTGTTCTCTTGACTGAAGAAGCAAAAGAGCATCTCCAGGATAAGAGCAAAACAAGTTTATGCCGTAGTCCAGCAATGGCTTCACTTCTTGATAAGTCTCAGGAAAATCAGAACTCTCAACGACTTAGTGATGTAATTCTTCAGGTATATCATTTCTTTGTTTTTAAAAACTTTGGTGTTTAAATGAATTCACTTTCAGTCATGGTCTTGTTAAAAACTTTCTCAGTCATTTAAATTTATTTACTGATTTCAACTTAGTCATTTAAATTAAGAAATAGTAATTAATGCTTATTATGACTTTTTAAATGATATAAAAGTTTATAAAGTTAAATTAACTATCTCCTCCTTAGCCCCAACCCCTTATATTGACCAGTTTCTTCAGTGAATATGATGTAAAATCTGAAGTGAAATACTACTAATCTAAATCCAACAGTTGATGAAAACACTGTTTCATATCATGACCAAAATGGATATATTTCAGGAATGTAGTTACAGTTCAAAATTTATTGCAATTTTAAAGGTATGTCTACATCTTTGAAAATATATCCTAAGTGACATTTGATTTCTATAAATGGACCACAGATTTTTTTGAGGTTGGTTACATGTATAGGTAAGTGGACTCGTCTGGCACATTTGGAAGAAAATGCCCTCTTTCCAAGCCCTGTTGCCTGTTTTATCTTACAGACTTATGTTTACAGTCCTAAAATATGAATCAAGAATTTTACTCATCAGAAAACATTCTAAAATCACTAAAGTATTATTTTATAAGTAGATGAGTAATTTTTTAAAAACTGTGTTTTCTAAGTTAAAGTTCGATGTTTTTTACAAATGGGAATATTTCTATATTTTTCAGTATTTAGAATTACTCTCTTTAATCATATGGTTTTATGATTTTTGTCTTCTCACTGAAAGATAAAAAAGTAGAACTGTTTTTTGAAGAATTTGCTTCAGTTTCCCAATCAGTCACATTTGGCCAAGACAGAAGATTGTTCCTGTGTTGATTTGTTATCGTCCCTTTGTTGCTTAGAATTTGGAGATTTTCACCCCCTTCTTTGCCTGTGAGAGACATGGTCATGCAGATATTTCTGGTATGACCGCTTGTGCATGTTGGGCACCAGCCTTGATTATGTTAGATGCAGAAAGGAATGCCTGAAAGAGAGGAGATGATGCTCCTGGGTTCACCCCGGAATTGTCCTGTGGAGAATGTCACAGGGCTCCTCAGGGGACTTTATCTCCCTTGTGCTACAGAATCTGGTTGACTTTCCAGCATGGATAAGAAGCCTGTTAAGGTAGCCCCCATTTTCTCCTCTGTCACCAGCAGAGCCTTCAGAAGCCTGGATAGAGGTCTAGGGAGAAAGATTTCTCAAAGCATTTCTCTAAAACTCTCTTATTCTTGGGAAGCCATAGCTTTCCTGTACCTACTGCCTCACTGTGATGTCACTCAAATTTTCTTAGTTGAAAACAAAAACTAGACATTGTCCCAGTTTTCTCGTTCCCAATCAGAACAACAGACTTTATTTCCCAATGATTGATTGAGTCCAATTTTGCACTTTACAGAATGTTGTAAGGAGGAAAATTCAAAGTCACACCTTTTCAAAGTCAGAACAACAGACTTTATTTCCCAATGATTAACTGAGTCCAATTTTGCACTTTAAAGAATGTAATAAGGAGGAAAATTCAAAGTCACACCCACCATATCCTCTATCTAATTTAATTATAGATTTCCTAACTTTGGCTTTGGTTGGAGCACTGTCCTGCTTATGGAAAGGCTTTTGCTCTTGCTGACATGCTTTCCTCATCAGAGAATTTCAGTGACTTCACTCAGAAGAGAGTGCAATTAGGGCAGTGTGCTGAGCCCCGCCCCGCAGCCAAGGCCAAAATGACAATAGCTCGGGAGCCTGGCTTTGCATGGATGACTGTGCATATCCTACAGCCAGTCCTCCTGGACCTCGGGACCTGGTGAAGTTTAAAGACTTCCAGCCAGGCAAAGCCAGGGCCATTTTATTTCCCAGCTCTTTAATCTTGTTTGTGGTGCTGTGTTTGAAGGATCTGTGATGAGACTCAGATAAATATGGATCCATGTAGGGTAATGAATCAGTTTTATGTTAGTATAGATGGGGAAAACAAACTGTGCTAGAGGAATTTGAAATTTACCTCACTTTTATTTTTTCCTAGTACTTTGTAATATTATTCATCATAAAAGTTTTGGTTTATAATTTTTTATGTTACCTTTTTGGACAAAGAAAATGAGATAGCCTACAGTCAAAGAATATCTCAATGATTTTCCTAATGACTAGCTAATATTCCTCTTTATTTCTTCTAAATTATAAAACATGTTTTTTTGTGAGGGTATGGATTTATTAACCAATTGTTTAAACCGTGTTTCCTAATAAATCATACGCTTCGTGTTTGTGTAAGCAGCAGAATTTGGATACATGACATCTGTTAGAAGTGCACAGGCAAAGTGAAGAGAGGAATTATATTTCTGGGACATTTACGACAAAATATGTATCTAATGTAAGTTGAGACAGTTAATGGGTCTATTAAACTACGAGGACTGTTTTCTTTGCCCTGTAGAAACAAGATGTGTGAGTTAAAATATTATTACAATACATTCAACAGCAGCACAGTTTGACAAGTAATAAATGTAGCTTACTATGTATCCATGGAGTCTGTGGGTTGGGCCAAGTGCTATATGAAGCAAACTACAGTCTGAGTTATCAGAAGAAATCATATTCTAAAATTGATGTTCTTCAAAGATTTATTTAAATTTTCTGTATAGTCATACTCAAAAAATATTTGATATGAGACCTTAGGCATATCACTTAACTTCTTGTGATTTAGTTTGTCAAGTATAAAATGAAGGAGTTTATTACATTATTATTAAGTTTTAGCTGCCTTTAAGATTTCCATCCTCCTAACAAATTATTGTATTAGAACTTCAATTAAAATGTCTGGGCGGAGTTATCTTTTAAATGGTTCTTTATGCACTGTCTCATAGGGGATACATGTTGAAACTATGCATAGTTACATCTTCAGTCATGTATAACTTTTTTTGTAAGCCCGTTTTGAGGAGCTTTCAGACTTTGAATATTTTCTGAGAAATATTTAGCTGTCTTTTGTCCATAAAATATTGAACACATTTGACTTAGTGGAGATTTTACCTTCCCTAGTTTATGGAGATATAGTAGTCTCCCCTTATCTGTAGTTTTGCCTTTTACGATTTCAGTTACCCATGGTCAACTGTAGTCCAAAATATTAAATGGAAAATTGCAGAAATACACAGTTCTTAAGTTTTAAATTGCATGCCATTCTGAGTGGCAATATGAAATCTTGCTCTCTCTCCCCCCTCCTCAACCTGGGACGTGAATCATCCTATGTCTAGCTTACCCGCACTGCATATGATACGTGCCCATTCATCGCTTAGTATAGTCATCTTGGTTATCAGACTGACAAATCACAAGACGAAGAAGGGTGAGGGCATTATAGTCAGATATTTTGAGAGAGAGACAGAGAGAGAGAGAGAGGCCACAGTCACATAATTTTTATTATACTGTTGTATGTTATTTGTTATTGTCACTCTCCTACCGTGCCTAATTTATAAGTTAAACTTTAGTGTAGTTACATATGTGTAGGAAGAAAACATAAAATATATAGAGTTGGGCACTATTCATGGTTTTAGGTATCCACTGGGGGTGTTGGAATGGATCCCCAAAGGGTAGGGGGGCCTACTGTGCTCAATATGTTTTATTTGCAAATACATATAGATAGCAAGATTGATAAAAATTCTCTATATGTAGTAGATTTTGTCTATAATTTATATATTAATCAACTGATATATTGAATTAATTTTGCTTCTTATTTCATCTGATATCTAAAAGTAGTAATGCAAACAAGGAACTCTTGCATCTTATTTTGATGTATTTTGTGCTCATATTTAGTGAATGGTAAAATTCAAGGGTAAATCTGTTGAAAGGAAGGCTTATATATTTAAATCTGTTGATGAATGTTTACTGTAATTGAAAAGCCTATTTTTTACATTTAAGTACCTTTTGAAAAGAAAGCAAAAAATCTTAACCTAGAATACCCTACATTACTTAATGTACAGAAGGGATTAATCCAGAAAGAGTGTGACATTTAAATGAATTTTGGTTGATGAAAATACATTATTTCTTGCTCTATATCTTCTTGAATGATTTTTGTCTTTTTGCGTATTTGCATCATCTGGGAGCTAGTTATCTACTGCTTGAGTTTATTCTCAGCCTTGCTGCCTCCAGGCTTCTCACACTTCCAGCCATGTCCACCTGTTCTGTGCAGAGATGCTCAGACTGCTGTTCAGTCTGCAGTAAGTACTGTATGGAAACTGATGAAAAGTCGGTCCTTTACTCCAGCCTTTCTTTCCTTCGGTATATGTTGGAAAGTGTGTGAATTTACCGTAGGTTAGTCCTGTTTGTTTCCTTTTTGTTTGTTTTTGGTTTTGGACTTTGATTTCAGTTTTGCCATGTACACATTTTAGAGAACCAAACAGTTCTATCTATTAGTTTTTACTAAAAGTAGGAGATTTCTGCCTTCATTTGTCATTTTCTCAGAGGTGACCACTAATACCTCATTTAGCTGCTTTTTTATAGCTTCTGTTTTGTGTCTCTAAATAACATGCTTATATTCCTTTGTCTTGATTATTCAGATATTATCTGTTGAATTCCTACTATGGAAAACGAGACATTAGCTTTTTTTTTCATGCCCCACTCACCTACCCTGCCCAAATGAGTTCCCTTCTTATTCTCCTAATATTCATATACCATAATGCCTATTAGAGAATAGGCAGCATGAATGGTGTTAACTTTGACAGTGTTACACACAATTGAACCATGTTACAGACAGTGTTTAACTCCATTTTCTTGCACAGCTTTTATTTGCCTTAGAGGTAATTATTTTGTTATTTTATAATGTGCTGACTTTCCTGTTATTACTTGTAAACTTCACACTCTTTGCCAGCAGTTAAATATCCTCTCAGTGTGTTCAGAACTGTCGGAATTTCATCACTTCATCTTTAGGAGGAAATCTCTCGCATTCTTTCCGACCTGTTTGGTGCCGTTGTCATCCTGGGATATCCATTCACCTTGTTCCAGGAATTCCTTTAGCTC